TATTTATATTTAATATAAGTTAATTTATTAATTAAAAAAGTTTGAGGTTATTAGATTGTTCTCGCATTCTCGTAAATTACATGGGTTCTCGTTTGAACCTCCACCTATATATATATATATATATATATATATATATATATATATAGGATTGGGTTTCGGTGAAAAGAATCAAAGTGAGAAGTGCAAGAAGTGAACCCTTAGATGCACATTAGGATTAGATGCACCAATATATACTAAATCAATCCATGTATCAAGTACAATTCATGGTGGGTGAAATTAGAAGTAATCAAGGATTCAAACCTTCTTACACTTTTCATCTTAATTCTCATTCTCACAAAAATTCAATTCAATATATATCATTGACATCTTTAAACTAAAGCTAATTTAAATATATTATATAGTTTTTTTTATTGAGGTATAATTGATAACTAAAATTCGAATATTTAAAAATTTAACCACAAATATGATATCATGGAAATTCTCTTAAAGTTATGGAAGTCGAAGACTCTTCCAAAAACCAAATTAATAACTTATATAAAATATGAAATTACATAAAAACTCAGTTTCTTCGATCATAATCTGGTACTCTGGTTGAGTGTCTCAAAAGTTATTTGATGACAAACTCTATCCATGGTCATGATTTTGAAAATCATTAACTACAAATATATACGGTGTATTTGACAAGACAAAATAAATATTCTCATGTTTGGCATGTCATGGACAAAAAATACATAGAACAAGATGAGACTATTTTTAAATTTTATGGGATAAAACTTGATAATTTTTGTTCCACCAAAAAAAGTGGAATAATATAGGACTAAATATAAAAAGATTATATGAAAATAGAATTTATGAAGTCAATTTACAATGAAGACAAGTAATATGTCTTAGGAAATGATGAAAACATTTGTTTTCGGTGCAATTTGACATATTTTAGGAGATGATGAAAACAATTCTCCTTTTATGATATTTTTGGTGCATTTGACATATGGTCTTGGAATGTTAAACTTTTGATAATGTCACAAATGTTATTTAGAATTTGTGGTATGATCACAAATGTTATTTACATGTGGTCTTGTAACCTTAAAAAAAGGTGGGATTGAATAACATGTCAAAATAGGTAAATATTTAAGTACGATTGTTGGGCTTGTTCGTCAACACCTTTTTGTCATTTTTTGGATTTATATATGATGTATTAACTTGATTACGAAAACTATGTAATTAAAATATATTTTGGTTGATTTGTTGTCGTTTTACAATCTTTATATGATATAAAATAATATTAAACAACATTTAGGGGTAATATCGTGATCTAATAAAATAACATAAATATTTTAATCTAAAATTAGAAATTATATAAGAATAAAAACGTTTGTGTGTGAGTAAATTAAGGAAGAAACACGAAGGAAACTGTTGATGGAGAAAAAACATGAAGAACCAAACAACAACAACGGTGAAACAGAGTTTTTGGTGGGTATAAAATTGGAGGAGATCTTGATAAGCAAATTACAATCCCAGGTAGCACCTGGAAGAAGCTGATCTTCTTCTTCCTGGTAATTAATAAAAAAAAATTATATATTTTCTTCCATCTGTATATCTTGTTTTTTAAATAAAAGTAAATATATACATATATATATATACACACAAGAATCATACATATACACATACATATTATATCTCTTTTCTGGGTGTCTCCGGGATTGTGCGATGGATACTCAAAAGTTGCGTTTTTTCATGGTGTTGCTATGCGTCGCAACGACGCCGCTAGTGACCGCAGAAGATCCTTACCATTTTTTCGACTGGAAGGTCACGTACGGGACCATGTCCCCTTTGGGTGTCCCGCAACAAGTCATCTTGATCAATGACAAATTCCCTGGCCCCGTCATTAATTGCACCAGTAACAACAACATTCTCGTCAACGTCTTCAACAATCTTGACGAGCCGTTCCTTCTCACGTGGAACGGTATCCAACACCGCAAGAATTCCTGGGTGGATGGCACACCTGGGACCATGTGTCCCATCCAGCCGGGAACCAACTTTACCTACAAGTTCCAGGTGAAGGATCAGATTGGTACTTACTATTACTTCCCAACCACCGCCTTGCACCGGGCAGCCGGCGGCATTGGCGTCCTCCAGGTGCATAGCCGACCGTTGATCCCTGTGCCGTTTGATAATCCGGCTGATGAGTTTGCGGTTATTATTGGAGATTGGTTCAATAAAGGTCACAAGTCTATGAAGAACATTCTTGATGGTGGCAAGTCCATTGGTCGGGCTGATGGGGTTCACATCAATGGCAAGTCTGCTCAGGTTGGTGCAGCGGCTGAACCATCATGGACATTTGAGGCTGGAAAGACATATAGGTTTAGGTTTTGCAATGCTGGGATGAGGACGTCCGTGAATTTCAGGTTCCAGGCACATGACATGAGGCTGGTCGAGATCGAAGGGTCTCACATCATGCAAAATGACTACATGTCCATGGACCTTCACGTCGGCCAGTGCTTGTCCGTGTTGGTTGCAGCCGATCAACCACCCAAAGACTACTACTTGGTCGTGTCGACCAGGTTCACCAAGAAGATCCATTCCACGGTTGCCACCATCCGCTATGCAGGAAGCAACATCCCTGCGTCACAGGAGCTTCCACCTCCACCGGTGGAGAACACTCCAGGAATCGCATGGTCCATAAACCAGTTCAGAACGTTCAAATGGAACTTGACCGCCAGCGCAGCAAGACCCAACCCACAAGGCTCGTACCACTACGGACAGATCAACATCACCCGCACCATCAAGCTGGTCAACAGTAGGAACTACATTGACGGTAAGCTCAGGTTCGCCTTCAATGGTGTCTCCCACATCGATCGACCGACTCCACTAAAACTCTCCGAGTATTACGGTTTGGCTGACAAAGAGTTCAAGTACGACACCATCAAAGATGAGCCACCACCCGATGTCGAAAAGAACGTGCAGCTGGCACCTAACGTCTTGAATGCCACATATCGTAACTTCGTGGAGTTCATATTCGAGAACCGAGAGAACACCATTCAGTCGTACCATCTGGATGGATACTCATTCTTTGCGGTGGCAATAGAGCCAGGGAAGTGGAGTCCGGAGAAGAGGAAGAACTACAACCTGGAGGACGCAGTGAGTAGACACAATGTGCCTGTATTCCCGGGGTGTTGGGCGGCAGTCATGACCACCTTGGATAACGCCGGAATGTGGAGCTTGAGATCGGAGATGTGGGAGAGATTCTACTTGGGTCAGCAGTTGTACGTCAGTGTACTGTCGCCGGAGCGTTCCTTGAGAGATGAGCAGAGCCTCCCAGAAACCCAACAGCTTTGCGGCATTGTTAGCAATTTGCCCAGGCCAGCACCCTACGTTTAGATTCAATTTTTCTGCAAGTAATTAATTCACTTCCTTTCTGTATGGCCAACCAAATAGATTAAGAATTTGGGTAAAATGTCAAATTTTGAATAAACATGTACGTCATCATTCCCTCATCGAATCAAATTGGCCTTCCATTCTTCGATACTGCATGCATCAAAAACTCAAACCACCACTTTCCGATCATTCACGTATCCTTTTGAAAAATCTAGACATGAAATTGAAGATAGGGTTAATTTGGTGTTGCTGGTGCAGCATAATAAAGTAAAAGTCTGTTAAAATAACTTCGACGATGATGGGAGGTGGTGTAGAGACTTCATCACCGTTGCAATCTAGTGGTCGGCGGTGGCATTGCATACGATCGGAGTCACCCAACAGTTGCTTTTGGCCATTACAAGGCTATTATCGAGGGTTCAAAAAGCCCTAATCTAAAAATCTATGTTTCTTTTTCTTGTCGGTTTTGATTATTGTTTGACAATGAAACAAAAGCTTATGAAAAAAAAGGAAGTATTTTCTTTAGTATGCAATGTAAACATAAAAGGTTAAGCCATAAATATGTTGATGTTTGTAAGAATTAAATTAGTAAATAAGAATGTATTTTTTTTATTAACCTGGATATCCAACCCGTTATGCGAGCCGACTAATCCCAAGACGACCACCTGCATGCATGCTTTGCAGATAGCCCGGAGTCACCGCATTTGAACCTCTGTGGCCACAAGGGGATTTTTATTTCTCCGTGGATTTGGACCTGAGACCTTCTGCTACTTTTGACCTTTGAATTCAAACTCAAACCAATCAGGCACCACCCTTGTGGTTAAGAATGTATTTAGCTTACGCTCTGTAAGAATTTAAAATCGTATCAAAATTTGAATGATTAATTAATACATGTTTATGTTCTTCGATATCTTAAAATCGAATTCATTGTTGCTTATTGTTACACGGTAAATCTTGTTGGGTACCATTTTTACGATATTCATTATATTTTTCAAAAAGAAATTGAAAATGCAGCAATATATGGATAACCAAACAAGAACAGCCAAGTGCACGAAAACAAAACTCTCCCAAAAAAATGCAACCCATCATTTACAAGGCGTAGAAAAGAGGGAGGCCGCTACCCAAGCTAACAAAAACCCACATGAATCGCCCTACAAAACCAAAACAACAAACCAAAACCAACTAACATGAAAAAGCAGTTGGTTGGATAGTCAGCTCGCATAGCGGGTTAGATATCCAGATTAATAATTAAAAAAAAAGACAGTCGGTTTACAGCACTTAAAGAATTTCTAATGCAAAAGTTATTTTGTCAATTTAATAATTATTTAAAATAAAGGTAAATATGTTTTTATTTAATATGTATTTTTTTTAAGAAACTTAATTTGTGGTCGTATATATAAAGTATTATAAGAAGAATTAAATAAAGTAGCCGAGATGATCTTCAAAGAAATTCTTAGACGTGAATCACAATAAATTTTACAGCAAGTTACACTGATGATCCTATAGTTTGTCCAAAGACTAGTTAATATCTCATAATGGTTGCCAACTGACGGTACTAATTTTAAGAATCTTGAGTGTTATGAAATTGAAAAGTTAAGAACCATAAATGTAGATGGTGTTTTTTAAAGATCAAAATTAATCTAGAATTTGAGCAAACCACAAAGACCACTGATATAATTTACTCTATTTTTAGTAACGAGTTGAAAATTGATAAGTGAGTGGATGAACGTGTGTTTGATTTTTTAGTGGTATTTATAGTTTGACTATATTTAATAATTATATGTTAACACGTAATTAACTTAGAGCATATATAACAGATTATCTAAAATAAAGATTTTCGAGATTTTTACTTTAACAGATTTCTCAAAACTTTCTCTGAAATGAGAAAGTGTGAGGTAATCTCCAAATTTGGAGATTTCTCAAAAAAATGAGTACTTATGAGAGAGAGAGAGAGAGAGAGAGAGAGAGAGATGATTTTTTATTCATTATACCAATCAGATTGCTTGAAATTAAATGTTTATGAGAGAGAGAAATAATATTTTATGAGTTGTATTGAATGTTTTAATAATATAATTAATTGTGTAATCTCTAAAATAGAGAATATATTGGAGATGATGGTAAATATTTTTGAAAATTTTAACTTTTTACTTTTCCATTTTTAGAGAATTTGTTGATGATGCTCTTATAATACTTTGTTTACATATCTCAATAAAGATACGTGGACTTTCGTTACGGCAAAAATCATTGTGTTTATAGTTTAGTAGTTTTTTAAAAACATAAAGATATTTATTTAATATATAGTTTAGTTTAAGAAATTTGATCTATGACCAGATATATCAAAAAAAATTAAAGATTTTTTTAAAATATATGAATCAAATTAGTTTTAGAGTGAATTACATTGTGGTTTTTTTATAATTTGGTTTACGTCCACAAAAGGACCAATTTGCCCAACACGGATCTAACAGTTGTTAAAGTGATGGTGTTAACTCCAAGAACCTAAATGTTATGAAATTGAAAAGTTAACGATCACAATGTAGATAAGCCCATTTTAGGGACGAAAACCATGTTTTGAGTAAACCACATGAAGCAAGAGCATAATTCACTCTTAATTAATTAACTTGTAGTTTTAATGTATATAAAGTACATTATTCCGGCTTACAATACGTAGATCATGTTCATAGAGATGTTTTAATTTAGCAGCATATAAAGCTGTCAAATTGGATCGTTTCTTCTAAATTTGTTTACCAACACAAAATGGGTAAAGGTTAACCAACTAAGTAAAGCTCTTGATATCTACTTAGGATATAATCTCAATCACCAAATTAGAGCATCTCGAATGCAAGGTTCTTATAAGAAAAAGAGTGAATTACATTTTTCTTTCATGTGGTTTACCAAAACTCTAGTTCCCATCCCTCGACTTCATTAATTACATTGTTGCCTTTGTAGTTTGCATTTTGCATTGGTTTGGGTTCCTTTAAAGAGGGAACATTAGGTGGTGTCACAACAGGGGCATTTAAGTTTTTTTTTGGATGTTTTATATAAATTAAGATTATTGTACAGCTCTTAAAAAAATATGTACAAGTCATTTAAGCATTTGAAAAAATAAACAAGAACATTGAAGAACGTTAACAAAAGTATCTTGATCTCCATCATTTTACCCATCAGATCAAAAAATAAACCCATACAAATCCATTGAAATCAAACTGCACACTAATTTCTCCAAACCAGATCCATCTCAGAAGCCAAGAACACCAAGAACATTCATCCATTATTTAGAAGAACAATGAATAACGTTTTAAATGTTAACTAAAACAAAATTAAGCAGTTAAAACATCAGGAACAATGAAGAACCTTCAAATGCATTGCCTAGACAACAACCAAGATTAAGAACAAATTTCTACTAAGCGAAAATCATACCATAAATTAATGGTTTCTTAAAACCTCAAAATCAAATCAAAAACTTTTTCAAAGACCTACCATGAAGAGAAATAACCACCTAGAAACAAAACAAAAGAAATCCAACACCATCTTCTTCCCATTTTCTTGTGCTTCTTGGATCAAGATTGGAGGTGGCGGAGAAGGTTGAAGGTGGGTCTTGAGGTTGGAGGTTTTTGGCCATGATTACAGAATCCAACCCACCATTTCCGGTGACTGGAAATTGCACCATCTCCGGTGATCGCAACTCACATCATCTTTGGCGTCTTTTCCACAGGCCACAACCTAACATGCTTGTTACCTCATTTTGAAATTTATAAGCACGTCTCTTATTGATTCGATTAAAGTAATGTGTTGGTTTGCATGTTAACTATGTTTACAAATCATGCATTGTTTTGGAATTCTTACATCAATTTTGATTTTTGGTGTAATGCTTTATTATAAACTCTTAAACTCGCCAGGCATGAAGCTTGATTTATTTTTAGTTTTTGATGTGTATCCCAAGATCAAGATAACATGGTACTATTGATGGTGTAACCATTGATATGTAATGCTACGATGCAGTGTTTCTTACTACTGTTTTGTACTTTAGCTTCGAACTGAAGATTAGTTCACAATAGTATTTAATAGATTCCATATCCATATGTTTAGTGTATGATTGTAAATAGTAGTAAATGTATGTGGTGCTAATGCACGCTTTTGGTTTGGGGAGTTGTTTAGTGTATATGTAAATATAATTCACATGTAATAAAAAGGAAAAGACGAGTTTACGAATGGGTCATGCGGAATTTTTGTTAGAAATTTAGTCTAAAGATTAGGATGTTACAAATTGGTATCACCATCGATCAATAAAAGCCCATCTTATCATTTTGGGTCTAGATATGATATGGATCTAACCCATTTCTTTCGACATGGGTCTCTGTTATGCATTGATTATTCAAGACATAAAACACATATTTCTTTACTTTTAGGTAGTTTATTTGTCTTTTATCCCAACTTTGAGTCATTTTTATTATTTGATTTTCCATTTGTTTGTCCATTGAGCTAAATTAAGTGATTCACTTGTCTTTACCACATTAGGATGGCTAATTCTTTGCATGTGTGCCTATTGTTTCTATGTTGCAACATTCATTTAGCATTGGTCTTTGTAGTGTGGCTTTTTGTACAAACTTTCTGGATTCAGCTGTTGTGGGTGGATAAGGAATTTTTTTTGATAACCCTTGGACAAAGACTGAGTACTTGTTATGAATGTTCCTTTTGTGCTTTTTGGGAACCTTATCTCCTCTTAGCTTTTGTTTTCTCTTCCTCTATTCTAGTATAAATAGAGGCCTTTGGAGCTTGTTTTGTTCATCCCTCATCAAATTTACATCTGACTTTGTACTTAAATTCAAGTTAGCTCTCAAGTTTCTTTAAATATTGTTTTTCACCTTGCTTTGTTGCAACATTATATTCTGTCTTTACTTTATTTATTTTCCTTGTCATTTATTTTCCGCTCTTTACATTCAGTCATTTACTTTCCGTTATTTACGTTTATGTCTTTACTTTCTGTTATTTATTTTCCTTGTCATTTACTTTCCGTAATGAGTAGATAATTCCATTAGCTTGGGTGTGAGACTAAGGGTGAGAATTTTAACCAAAGAAAAGTCGACGTTGTTTTGCAATAACAACGTATCACTATTTCATTCAAGTTTTATAAAAACCAGTGACACTTCTTAACTATTTGATCACTTTGAAAGTGTTAAAGTGTCATGGTCTTAGAGATTAACCACTGAATGCACGTTAATTTAAATGATATGAAAAGTAGACTTGAGAAAGTTGCCGACAAAGAGATTTGTCATTTATATCTTTCAAACTAATTAATTCTCGACGGGTTGGTCACTTGTTAAAGTGTTAAAGTGCAATAGATCAGAAATGACCTACTTAGAACACACCAACTTGAATGATATGAGAATCGGTTCGAGAGAGTGATTTTTAACAAAGAGATGCTAATTCATATATTTTTAACATTTGGGACTAATTGTATATTTGCTTTTGGTCTTGATTACTAAGTCTGTGGATGTATAAAAGCTAATGTCAACGTCAGAGACGGGAAGAAAGAGGTGACTAGGGCGAGGAGACGCGGTGACCGGATTGGTAGGAGAAGAATGAAGATGAATATGTTTTTTTGGGTGGGGATGAAGAAGATGATGATGACATAGGATAGTTTTTAGTTTAAACTTTTTTTTTTCCTTTTAACTTCTCATTTGTAATAACGTTTTAAATATTTTTATTAAAAATATTTAAAATAACCAAAATACCCTCACATGACTTGCACGTGAGAGGCATTTAACGGCAGCAGCTAACGGCCGTGAGTTCAAGGGACCCAAACCGATACAAAATGCAAACCACAAGGGCAACCATGTAATTACTAAAGTCGAGGAACAATAACCAGATTTTTAGTAAACTACAAGGACGAAAAATATAATTTACTATAAAATAAAGTGTTGGGTTCTTAAAAGAACCACCATGGAAAAGATTTCTTATAAGAACCTCATATCTTTTGAATTCTTATATAAGAATCTTGATTCTTACCTTGAAAATTGATGTGAAATGACTTTTCTATCAGTTTTTTAATATATTTTATTGACTTTTCAATTATTATTGATGTTTAAAAAATACATGAAACCCACAAAATAGGTTCTTATAAAAACCTTTATTGGAGAGGCTCTTATAGGCCAAAAGGTGTGCATAAACAACATTATTCTTACCAAGTCAACACCAGTTGTCCAATAAGAAATAATAGATATTTAGGGGTCGCTACTAATTAGAGTCATCATACTAACTTTATCGAGTAAGATTTTTGCCATCAAAATGACATCCATGCAATGACTTTACCCAGTAAATGCTAACCAAGTAAGAGTCATCATTTTCACTTATTAAGTAAGAATGATGGTCCTTCCTATGCCTTTTATCGGATAAAATTCTATATACTTGCTATACTATGTTTACCCAGTAAAGTAAACAATCTGATAAAGCTTACCCAGTTAGTAAATAAGACCCCACTTCTTTCATTTTTCTTCCAAACCACTCATGATAGTTAATTGTAAGAATAAATTACATGTTTCGTCCCTTTCGTTACATGTTTTTAACAAATTTTGTCCCTTACTTGAAAATTCAATGAATCATGTCTTTGTGGTGCATTTTTACGAGTTGGGTCCTTACTTCAACAATAAGGACCAAGTTGTTGACTTATTGACAGACCAAACTCATTAAAAACTGCAACCACACAGACATAACTCGTTAAAAGAATGCAACCACAAGGATGTAGCTCGTTAAAAACGCAACCACAGGGACACGTTCCATGGAATTTTAAACAAAAACACTTAACCACAGGGACAGAACATGTAATTTACCCTAATTTTAATGAAAATAAAACTTAAGACAATATAATTGACATTTTGTATTGGATACTTGATCCAATTTCTGACACCACCATACCATTACTATTACTATTACTATTACTATTACTATTGCAAGGAGAACAATGGGCAGAAGCAAAGAGTTAAATATATTGATTGACAAAAGACAAATGAATGGCCAAACACAATATGATCCAAATTACCATAAAGGCCAACAACAAACACTCAAAAATCCTGAGAAGAAGAGAGGTGCAAACAAGGGAGAAATAAACAAGTAAAAATAACAAATAGAGCTAGCTACCTTTGCTTTGCTTGCTTATTCTGTTCTTGGTTATTTGCTTCTTGTTTTGGGTATTGGGAATCATCAAGCTTAGCATCACCAGGAGGAGAAGGATTATTCAAATTTTAATGGAAATAAATGTAAACTAAGAAAGATCACAACCCTTGCCTGCTCTATACACCGGTTCAGAACATCCAAGCCATGACTATCTTTGAGGGGGGTCCACGCTTCGCACGTTTGCACCACTCATCCCCTCGATACGATCTTTTGTTATCTCCACAAACTGCCCAACCATCTCGTGAAACTGCTTCAGCCCTGATAAAGGGAGAATGATGGACGACCGATCAGTACCTGCAACCTGCATAAACCGCCATTCATTGAACATTTAATCATCCAATTAAGACCTACATCTTAAAGATAAATCCCAAGAATCACCAACAATAATTTCAAGAATGACCAGCAAAACCAACATTTTGTGCCTAAATAAATTTAAGAAAAACACCAAATGAGCTTTTTGGCTCAAATTTAGTGAGACCTTTTAGTTTCTTAATCTATACCAGCAATAATTCATCAATTTTTGTTGCTTCTTTCAAATATGTAAAACAGACTGCAACTTTTTCTTGATAAACTTTCTTTCTCATACTCAACAATTTCAGCAAATCAGACGAGTGTCCTATGTATTCTCAAGCCTGATAGCTCAACCTGTAAAGTATACCAAAGCACGGTCCTTTTTTATGTTTGGCTACAAAAAGGATTTCAACTTCCTAACATAATATTCTAATAGTGGCTTCTTGTGATTTACATATCAAACCAATCTTAAGACATTCTTGAGTTTTATGTTTCAGCTAAAGGCTCTGTTATTAGGGCAAAGGGTATTTAATCAAAATATGTTAATTATATTACTAATCAAATACCCAGAACATTATCTATAACAAAATTGAGAACATATTGGACTTGGCAACAGGCCAGGTTGTTACACCGGTTTTAATTTTGGTGGTTATGATGGGTATGGGTACAAAAGTACCATACTTTCTGGGTATCCAATCTGATAACCCGTTATCTATACCCATGCACCCACGAAAAAATAAGTTTATCATTTGGTATTAGAAGTTGATATAAATTATCACTTTATTTGATGCAAATCTACCAAAACAAACCAAAGCATAATTGACATAAACATTGCAACTTGAAATAAAAACACTTCAAATGTTCGAAATAAATAATAGAATTTGAAGCCAGTTTGAATTGTAAATATGTGAAAATTGGTTGCATACTAATACCGAGTCAAAAGTCAAGATGAATATAAAAGGAAGAGAACAACCTCAGATATATATAATGTTTGAAGTTGTACTTTACTTGCTAGGGTTTACATCACTTGACCCACAGGTACAAAAGGTAAAGGTACAGAAATGCCTGAGATTTTTGGAGTAACGGTTGCACTATGTGCACGTAATTAACAGGGTACAGCCACAGGTACCCACGGGGTAACCGCTACTTTTTGGCCAACAACTGATCCTATCAATATCATGTAATGATTGCTAACAAACAAAAAGGTAAAATGAAAATGAATCTTCTGCAAAAGAAAACATTGCGCTTTTACCCAAAAGAAGTGATAACGGTCCTTTTGAGATGGAGGGGGTAAGTTTTATTCAAACTATAGAAATAAAACTGCTTAATTTTTTTATAAAAACCACAACTGTGTCAATTTTTAACCCTTCCTTATCTGTCCTTGTATAAAACCTTTTCCTCCATATACTTTGTATAAAACCTTTTCCTTATCTGTTTGTGTCAATCTTCATTTCATATAACAGGAGTACTATTTCCACGTAAGAACCCAGAGCCCCCAAATTTAAACCTTTTAAAGACTCATGTGCATTAAAAAAACGGAGAAAAATCTTTAAGTCACACCTCAGATATTCTCAAGTAATGGCCCCGGTTGTTGCTTCCAAGATCAAAGAAGAACCTCTTCTGATCGGCCCTGATAACTTTGGAGACCCCAAAACTACCACTTTCATCGGAAGATGGAGGTGCCAAGTCAAATGTAGAAGTCCTGTCTCCTAAGTTCAAGTCAGATGATGCCGGTGGGCCAGATTGAGTACTGTTCCCAGCAATAAAGCCAGCCCCCACATCATCAGACAGACCAACTAGTCTTTCTGGGGCAATACCTTCTGAATTTTGCTGCTTATAAGAACATGAACAAACAGAAAGAAATGATGAAAAAGGGGAGTGTGTGCTCAAACAAAGAAGAAAGGTGAAGAATGGTTGAAAGCGGAACCTGGTTGGGCAGAACAAAGAGTTTAGATGCTTCGTTTATCTCTTCTAAGATGTTCCTGAATGCACTCCATCCTTCATCTCGGGTGCTTCCTGCAGGCACAATAATAGTACTGCGGTTCCTGCTAACTGAAGCTTCAGATACCTGCAGACACACCCAATTAAGACAACAGTAGAAAGAGATAAATGCATCACATCACATGGACAAAACTAACAGAGCTATATTTGCATGCACTGCTGTGTCTACATGTTCTTATTAAGACGGTTGTAAAAATATCCTACATATAAGGCCTCCTCATAGTTCCCTCGAAGGATTGTTTTCCCCCAAACAACCTTCTTTGCCCCTATATTGTGTTGTTTCTGACAAATATTTAGTTAACAAACAAACTTTATACACTTTCTATTCTAGTTGAGGACAAAGCCAGTAGCAAGTTATAACTGCATTCAGACATATATTTGAACACTTCTTCAATGCAACATAATTGAAATTCAGTTCATATCTGAAATTATTTGCAAGCACTAGCGAGAATACACACAACCCCACCAGAGCAGAAAAATTATAACAATCCATATGGTCAGACAATGGACTAAGGGGCCCTTCACCAACACTAACACGGTAAGCGCTTACAGGGTAAGAGTCACTACCCTCACTTAACTATTCTTGGTCATAAAATGGCATAGTAAGATTGTTGGTAAGCATCTCTTACCAGGGAAGCACTAACCTAGTAAGAATCACCACCCTCGCTTACCAAGTAAGATTCTTGGTCCTTGCCATGCTACATTATTTTAGATTCACACTTACATCAGTTGCCAGGTAAGGTCACTCTTACCTGGTTAGCATTAGGTAAACGACCCCTAAATTAGAGTGCATTTAATAGAGGGACGGTCAAGTGGACTACTTCTGTTTGGCAGCATATTCCTTTAAATCAGAGTGCATTGAAATGCATATGATGTGCTGAGTATCTGATTGGACGATCAAATGATAAGCATGCAATAGAGGGACAGTCAAGTGGACAAGAATGAGATGCATGTACGAAAAACCTATTAGTATAGCTAGCATTTTTTAACTGCCATGGTCAAAACTGGACTACTTCTGTTTCTGTAGGAGAGAAAGAGGAAGTGTAGTGGCAAGCTTCCACATACTTGCAACTGGTGGCGGAAACTCCAACCAGATCAACCACAAGGCTACTCCCTTTATCCCAACATGAGCTACATTTTACTTTTCATCTGGAACCTATTAATTTTCAATAACAAACCTGATGTTACTAACATAAAACCTTTTTAATTTTGAACACTCGTAAAAAAATTGACGAAGCTATCATTTTATTTGTTTCCTAAAAATTAAGAACCCACAACAATGACGAACATGAAAAATAACCTGCTAGATTTTCCCGTTAGAGTGGTGTCTTTTTTATGAAGCAGTGCTAGTATAAATACTTGTGATATCAGCTCACCTTACAATAAAACACCAATGATATGACATAAGCCCATGCATGCAAATTTTTTCAGCAATATTCATTGCAACTATATAATCTTGCAATTTCATTCCAAGCTGGTTCAACCTAATTCATGTGTCTAAAGACAATTTCTATCACATGATTAAAGACATTGATATGAGTGTTGTAGCATGCTGCATGCGATTATACAACCTCACATAGCTCCCAGATTAATCCAAGGTAGGTGCAAAAGGCTTCACGATGACCCTTTCAAACTAATTCCCACAATTTCAAGGGTGAGAGAACTAAATCAAAGTGCTTCTTGTGCCAAATAAATTACATTTCACCAGTACGTTCTTCAAGGCCATATGAAGCCAGAATGCTTTCAAGTTTGTAATTATTGTTGCGAACTTGCAAGTTGCAATCTTAGTTCTAACATCATTAGAAACACTTTTCTTTAGAATTAGTGATGAAATGATAAACCAATGACATGGGTGTGTGCCTTAAATCATTTCCACACATATCAAGGTTTTATCTATCTCCTTCATATGCATAAGGCTTTTAAAATTACTCATTTTTAACTAATTGAAAGAATTCTTTAGGAAAAATAATCTTTATCCCACTTCCATCAAAGCGACCAAACTGACACATACATTTGCAATATCGTTTAATATCTAGTAGGTAAGTAGGCAGAGAGTACTACGAGGCTCAGCATCTTTGAACTTGTGACAGATAAACAAGGAGCAAGTACAAAACTCACCTGCTTCCGTGGACCCACAGAAATTTAAAATTTCCAATCCCTCCATCTCATAATAAATGCAACAGTATCTGTTCTATGATATGTCAGTTTAATTGCAACTTCCCCATTTTGGCACAGATGTTATCGATTATCCACACTCCATCATCTCCATCCCTGTTTAGTTATATTTTAGGACGGGATTGACTTACAGTTAAGCACCTTCATTAAACTGTGCTCACTCAAGGTTAGATTTGTTTTGGGGCCGGAAGAGTCCAATTTTATTGTACAAAATAATGCCTTATCAGGAAACTATATTTGTATTATTATATAGTCTGCAATTAGAACCTCTTCTTCAATTAATACTTTGAAACATGATCACATTCTCTTTTACCCTCTCTGAGTTTTAGTTGAACTACCACAAATTCCCATGTTGCTCCCGGTACATCTATGTTGCACTACAGATACAGGCAAGTGGCTGATAATTGATGATTATGCACAGTCAAACAGAGAGAGACATAAACTCCATGTTTAAAAGCATACTGAGTTGAAGAAACTTGAATGGAATCATAATTACACAAATGTGTACCTTCAGAAACCGACCCCTCCTGTTCTCTCCAATATCAAAGTAGAACACCTGAAGAAAGAAGCCATTAAACAGCTACTTGCAAAAATGAAAGGTTCTTTGATTAAAAAAATCATAATAACTTTGCACAAAGGGAAGTCAATTCCACATTATACAAGGAAATCGTTTGTGTAATATATATGAGAGCGCAATTATAATATATGTAATATAAAAAATTGCCTTGCTATCAAGCTGGAGTTCCTTGCTAGAAATATCTTGGTCATCAGAAGTGACGTAGTAATTGAAGATATCAAAGAACCAAGAGATTCCGTTGAAAGGTACAATTATGGTGGACCTTGTCGCCGACGTCTTCTCCGATATCTTTAGGTAACGTCCGCGTGGGTTCTCCTTGAGATCAAAGTAAAACAGCTTATGCTCCACCTGTAACGTCTTAGACAACAGCTCGACGTCATTCCCTCCACTTCCTGCACCTCCGCCGCCACCCGAGTTAAAGTCCATCTCCTCCGTCGCCCGCCGCCTTTCGTATCGGACAAAACTCACAAATGCGAATATGTTACTTGAGCTCTTAGCTTGCTCAATGAAATCCAACCAATCAATTGAAGCGGAATGATTAATTCATACTCACATGATGGATTGCAACGTGAAATAGCAGATCTGGAATTGTTTGAGTGAGAAATTGAACTGAAAATGGAAATTAGGGTTTCAGACTTGACCCAGTCTCGTCTTCCTTCGTCGTATAAACAGAACCACCGCTTTTATTATATGTTCGTCACGAAAAAATAATTTACCTATTTTACACTTTAGCTACCTTGACTTCTTGCTAAAAGCCATTTTGTACCCGATATTGTCTTAATGTTTCATTTTAAACCTTTTTTTAATGAATTAAGGGATTGTTTGGCAGTTGTTGAATGGTTTGGTGCAGAATGATTAAGTGGTCAAAATGATTAAGAGGCTCTCATGAATATAATTGTTTGGTAATTGTTTACAATGAAATTAAGGCACTGAGTGGTTAAGGAGGCCTATGATACAAAATCATTCAAATGGTTTTAGAATCATTAAGAGACAGACTTATTTTTGTCAAACAAGATTCATCTCCTAATGATTCAGAGGTTGTCTCTTAATGGAACTATTAATAGGTGAACAAATAAATACAGAAAATAACAATGTACTTTTCATTACTTTTTTATTATCGCATTGTGTTTTTTTTTTTTTTCCTTTTAATATTATACTTTTAAATTATTTTTTATTAAAGCATTTTACATTGAAAATATATATCTATACTTACAATGTGTAACTTGCTATCTTTTAAATTGGTTGTTACATTTTTTTAATTTTCTTATGTTACACAATTTAGATGTAACTTGTTTGTTACCATTGATTCATTGAGTAATAGTAGAAAATGTATGTTTATGTATATAATATTATACATGATAAAGAGATTTGGTGTCATAAGTTACACCTTGAAAAATATCGTGACTTCACCGTAGTTTCCAAGACATTAGGCTTGGACCCACCGCCATGCCACGCTATTTAGAACTTTGATAAATTGTAGCATTCTACTTTATAGCAGCAGCTATTATTGATCATTTACCTCTCTCGCACTCCCATACGTAAAGATACTCTATAATACATAGACCTAGGGCTGTAAACGAATAGAACGTTCAGCGAACCGTTCGGCTGGAAGTTCGTTTATCTAATAAATGAACGAACATGAACAATTTTTTTTTGTTTAGTTAAACGAATGAACATGAACAAAAGTCTCTTTCTTTCATTTATGTTCGTGAATGTTTGTTCATTTATGTTCGTTTATATATTAAATTTAATATATAATCTTTTATTTATTTACTTTTAATTTAAATGATATTTATTTGTGTTCGTTTAGCCCGTTTGTTTATGTTTGTTTAACATGTTCACGAACGAACATAAACGAACTCGAACACACTTGATTTCTAAACAAACGAACACAAACACAAAGATTTTTGTTCGTTTACCATTCGTGTTCGTTCGTTTGTTCGGTTAAGTTAAACGAACGAACATAAACAAGTCTTTGTTCGTGTTCGTGCGGTTCGTTTACAGCCCTACATAGACCCACCCAAATCAAATATGTTACTGATGCAAAGCTATTTTTTTCTTTTTGACGAGACAAATAATCTTATCCATTATGATGTTGTTTTTAAAAGTAATACACATTCTTCAAATTTGAACTTTCTAACCCTAATTTGGTTTTTGCTCTTGTTCATGTAAATCAAGTAAAACCCTTAATTTTAACCAATATAGAACATTACTGATTTAATTGGATCGAACATTATTTACATAATCTTAGGGGCCCAGGGGGCATACCCACTTCACATTCAACCCAAAAGACCATCGTGCAAAAGAAAATAAGTTGATTTAATACTGTTGTCATGTCAATAAATATATTACATGTGGATATCCCACATAGAATATGACGTGACATAAATATTTGTATCCTTGTGTCGTGTCATTGAAATTCAGATCAGTTGGTTATTGATTGCTATCATAGATAAATTTTTCAAAATACAATGCACTGATATTAAGTATTTTTAAAATACAGTATTGTAAAAGAAGACGGGGTGGGGCGGGAATTACATATGAGAGCGACATCCAATATCTAATGCATCTTGAAATGTTAAGTAAGAGAAAAACAAAGGTGAATGGTTTGTAACCAACAACTTTTGAGTCGACCCACACCTCCTCACGTAAAAGTATCATGTAAGAGATAAATCAGGCACATAGTGTTCCGCTATGTAGCTAAGTTACGAGGTTCGTGCCCATAAAAAGTTGAATACCCAAATCATAACTCCAGGACTTGTTACCAAACTTGATACATCACTTGTTTATTTCAATATACTGTTTTTTTACTAATTGTTTTACGTCATAGAAACACAGAGGTTAATGGTTGACTACCGAATGAAAAAATAAAGTCGTTGGCAAGTATCTTTTAGGTCCAGTAACTCAAGAAAGGATTTTATCATTGATCTATGTTTTTCGTAATTGACAATCGTGAGAGACCAAAAATAAAATTATAAGTTCGGGGACTTGAAAGTCATTTGTTTATACAAGGAGGTTGGTAAATGTAAATAAGCTAGATAAAAGCATAAGAATCGAAAAGGAACAAACGAGTTCAGTGATGGGGGTTTCATTTTCCGTTGTTCCTCTTTCGCCTTCAAAAATCCACACTCCTACTATTTAATTTTCACACACATACAACATAAACAGACAGTGATTCTTGTAAGAGAAAACCCAGTTGAAGAATCTTATGTTCTCTCTTCAAATATCGATTTAATAGTATGTGTTCTTGAATGTAGTTCTTCTCTTGGAATCGATGTTTTTCGCTATTTTGGTTGGTTGATTGAAGCGGGTGTGGATTCGAATTTGTGGGTTTCTTTGGGGACGGAAGGGTGGGGCTTGTTATATGATGCTTTGTCCTGAATTGAACACTCAGATACAGACATGGCTCCGTGATTACGACAAGATTCAATCTGTCACCGTGATTCTCATTTACATTCAAGTACTCTCTCTCTCTCTCTCTATGTATATATATATATATATGTATATATCGAGATATATGTCTTTGTGTGCGTGTGTGTCGCTCTATACGTATAGGTGGCTGGATTTATGTTAGTGGCAAACATTGTTATTTGAATGTAGGCTTGATCTATTTATGTACATTTTCGAAATAAACAAGAACTTCAATTCAGGGCCTAGAATTTTGATATCTATAACTATTCACATTAAGTTAGATGCAAGCATAGAGAATTTGTTTGTCTATTTTTCTGTTGATTGATGGATGTTGTATTGATGTTTGAAGATTGGTTGTGCTTTGATTGGATCACTTGGAGCTTTGTACACTGGAGTTTCTTTGGTTAATCTTGGGATTGCGTTGTTTGCGTTGGTTGCTATTGAGAGTAGCAGCCAGAGTCTGGGCCGAACTTATGCTGTCCTTTTGTTTTCTGCAATTTTGTTAGACATTCTATGGTTCATCCTATTCAGTCATGAAATCTGGTTAGTTTTCTTACATGCTGTTTCTGTAAGTCAATTTATTCATTTTTCGGTCACTAGTTCAGCCCTTGTTTGCTATTGACAGTTTAGGTTAAACATGGTACACGGAGTAATAGAGCTCAAATACATGAATAACCTCCCGTTGATGATCTACTTACCGTTTTACTTGCAGATTCTGACAACCATTGTTGGAAAAAGGCCCTTTAGGAGTTAAAATGCTAATTTCTATTAAGCACTTTGTTTATCATGTATTGACTATTTGTTGATTATATTGCAATATGGTAGTAACTTATATCTAGCATTCCCTCGAATGATTAATTGACATTGTCATGATAGACATTTTCTTTTACCTTCAAAGTTCTTTAAGAAGGTATGGAGATACCAATAATATTACAGTACAACTAGACTCCATATGTTGTATTCGTTTATTTTCAGTTAATATTTTGCTTGGGTTGAAGTCTATATGGTGCATAATGGGGAGAGGAACTCCAAAAAGTACTTCCAGTTTGCTGTTTGCTGACACTTAAAATTTGGGGTTCTTAAGGCTTTTGTAACTTGTCTATTCCTTAAGCTGTAAACACCACATAACTTTTCGTTCCATGAGCTACAGATTCTATTTAGGACTTTTAAATAAATTGTATTAACGATTATCATTCTAGCCAAACTATCAAAATTTTAGCTTTCACCAACGGTCTTTTAATAGAGATTAAGTTCTGATCTTAGTTTTAATCAAGAATCTTTCTGGAGGATTATTCCTGGTCTTTTTATTGGAGTGTCCTGCTTTCTGGTGGAGTGGAGTGGATGGAATTATGGAAAATAGTTAACCATCCATTAATCCAGTTTTTGGCAGGCAGTTCTCCTTGAAGTGTATAATGATATTTGGATGTTTTTGGTTTGTGTTGCTTCTACAAATGGGAATCCTTTTCAGCTTTTGATGCATGATGATTTATGTACATTTATGACAGATGCTACTCAAGGATAATAACAATAGTAAGACGACAAATTATAAAAAAGACTCAAAGTTCTGAAAAAGTATTTTTCAAGCCAACCATGGATTATGTGTATACAATGAGTTCATAGTAGAAAAATTAGCATTTAATTCTCGATGAACTATCTATTCCCTTGCTCATGGTAAAAGTATGGTCCTAAAGCCTCATTGTGAATGCAGGTACATGTCTTCTGAGATTTACGGAAAATTTGCCATTTTTTCTGTGAAACTCACTCTATTAATGCAAGTTATTGGATTCTCAGTAAGGTCTTCATCCTCGCTATTATGGATACAGATGTATAGGTTAGGGGCTTCACCGGTAGATAGTACATGTCCCCAAGAGGGCGATCAGGATTTGAGGAACAGTTTTATAAATCCTGCCACCCCTTCTGTCATGAGACCTGCTTCTGGTTCTAATGATGTATTAGGAGGTTCTATCTACGATCCAGTGTACTACTCATCTCTTTTTTCAGATAATCAAGATGAAGGGTTTTTACGTGAGGTATGTATCTTTACTCACCCCCTCCCTTATATTGAGGAAGAAAATCTCTCATTCTCTCTCCTACTGCGTCTTTGTGCTTGCTGAGTTTGAAATGATCTTGTATGAATATTGTGTATTTGTAGGGTCAGAACCGTTTCAGTAGCTCGGGTAGGTTTATATCCGATGTCCCTCAGCTGAAGTCATTGGTGAGTGGATCTTCCCAAGATATACTTGTAAGTAATGACTTCTTTTACTTTATTACTTGTATGATCAGTGTATTAAGCAATACTGTTGATGTTCTTTGGGCTGAGTGAGACTACTTGGCCGTAGATTGTTAAATTCACCAACAGTTTGATTAAAACACGGTCTCATTCTGTAGGATATATGCCATGAACTGCACTTATTGTCTTATTTTAGTGGTCTTATTATAACGTGAGTGAGTCACACAACCTTCCTATACTTCAAAAAGAAAGAATAATTAGCATCATTGGCTATATGACAAAACAATTTATGGGTGTTTTGGATCTTTTTTTTTCCCATCATGTTGGAGTTTGTGTGTCTTTTCTCCATCTGGTCATATTACCAGTAGGCCCAACCTTTCTGGGATTGGTTTAACATCCAACAAGCTCAAGCAAGTTATAAAAAGCATGTACATATCCAGTGAGGTGAAAGTGCTTTAAGCAGCTCAAGATTGGACATGCATGCAATGGTGGGTCCAGGTTTCTAACCTGGGTATGCACTACCATTACAAAAACAAAAATGTGTATTCAATACGTTTACAATTTTGTTATTTTGTATTCCTACACTACAAGGAACTACAAAGAGTATTGAGGGCTTGTACTTACTCCCATCTGTGGCTGTAGGTCCGCCCGTGCATGGATATTGCAAATAATGAGTAGCACCAACCAACCAACATGCTTCACCTTGAGAGCATGATGAGCTTTATATTTGAGTTGAGGTAACCAGAGCTGTTAGAAAGCTTGGGTTTGGTATGATGTATCAATCAATTAAGACTTGGATAAGATTTGGATTGTGATTGGTGTCACTTTTTGAAAGTAATACTCCATCCTCATTTCGGCCAAGGGTTACACGAAATTCACTTTGGGGTAATCCAAATTTATACTCTAGATTTTAGGCAAAATTGAGAGCAAAACACACAGATGCTTTTGTGTTTTTCCTATGTTCAAAATTGAAATCAAACCCTTCTATATGAGCTGTTAACCGACAATTAATTTAGGTGAGTAGGTGAACAGTTACCAAAATAACTACCAATGGATAACCGAAAAATGGTCACACCTGTAAAGTTCAAAAGCTGACTAGCCTTCTGACCATGGCAAGGGGTTCTGCCCTTGACCCCCGTTTTATGGCAATCTTAGGTTTAAGTCAACTTATACCAGCATGCACTCCACACCTCATAACCCGTATTATATATAGCTTAACTGAAAACCCCATTGATCTCGTGTAAATCACAACTAGATCAAAATGATTGATGACACTAAAATCACCTAACGTTCTCAATAATGCAATGACAAAACAAATACTTTTTCTTTCCTCAACTCATCTCTAATGAGCTCTGAGGCATGGCACGACTTGCATAAGTTTGGTCCATTGAACACATATAAAAATAACATTACAGAAAAACAAAAACCCTCTTCAAAATATTACGATAAAAAGTATCTAAGAACGAAACTGGTTAAAAAAAATACAAATTACATTGAGCTACTTGTGTAGGCCCGGTTCACTTAGGCTCAACAAGCTTCTAAGATGAGATTCCTTTATTTCATGTTGCTATAGAAGTTTCAACACAAGCAAGTACAGGTACAAATCTAGCTTCTTGATTTATTGCAGGAAAGGAGCCAGATTGGGAGTTTCTGAAGTGGGATTATGACATAAATGGAGGATTATTGGTTTATTCAAATTTAGGAGCTGTGTACAGTCGCGGTCGCTTGTGGTATTTTTGCAGGATAAGCAAAGGGAGATGGTGTGTTGCTGTTAGATTAAACGATATATTCTCTGTAGGTGCATCAATCCAATGTCCATGGCTTTAACTGCATTTTATGTACAGTTTGAATCGGATTCTCTAAGAAGACGTCCATAGACAGATAACAAAACGATTTAATGGGACTTCTGAAAAAGGTGATAGTTCTTGAGGTGTTTTGCATCAATTTTGTTTCCAGGTAAATGTCTTGTATACAAACTTCTTGTAGACCCATCATTGAATTTCGAGTCCTTTTGTGTTTTGGATGGGGAATTTTGACAGCCAATCAAATTATATAAACCATGGACAAATGATCCAATCCAGTCTAATAGCTGATTTGATTATTTGAACCAACAATTTCAACATACTATTTATACATTTCACTTACAAACATACTCATAAAAACATATCACTATAAATGGAATGAGATATTTTATATGCATAAATCATTAAAAGCAAAAAACAAGTCTTGGACAACAAAATACAAATATCACATAAAATAAGCCATTAATGTTTGATACTTGAATTGTAACTACCAATGATAATTGAATTGGATTGATTCGTTTTTATTGGATTTTGAATTAGAATTGGATAACCGATTTTGGATGCTGGTTGTAATTGGACCGGTTAGTTGTAATTGGATCGGATGAACTTTTGCAATCTTATGCAGTAGACGATTCAAACCTCTGTAACTTGACAAAATCAGGTTTTGCAGTTTGAATGACTACGTTATGTCATCAGACACGTGTCCGAAAAAGAATATGACATCCAAAATTTTGATGGGAATGTTATACACGAAAGTAGGGTGTTACAGTTGCTTCGCAGAAGATGTATCTGTATGTCTGCAAGCATTCTAGAGGTCCTTTTTCTTGTACTATAAATTGACATTTTGACCATCATTTCAAGATCTTTCGAGTCTTTAGCTAAGCTTTTTTCCCCTCGTGAAGTTTTGTGAAAACTAATCATATTTGAGAGAATTCAAAACTCAAAAAACACTCGTCTAAATTTAACATTCGAAACTACTTATGTTCATCATTGGTATCTTTAATTCTTTATTACTGTAAGTGATTTATTGAGTGTATGTTTAAGATTCACTTTAACTTTTGTCTATTTACACAACGATCTTGTTCTAACATAAAGAACACAATATTATATCATTCATTAATTATCATACCAATAGTAATTTCAAGCATGCTCACATAATAATATATTCATAACAGCATTAGCCAGATGAAATTTTAAATATATTACACAGAAGACTTCTTGCTATCATCATCACAACTCTTAATTAGTGCATTTTCGTCAATCTTATTGCTCTCTTATCTTAAGAGTTCTACCCAAAACTTACCAATCATCACTTAAAATTTTAGTTTAAGTCTAGGCATCTTAAGTCCATACCTAGTTCACTTAAACTAGATCTCTGATACCAACTTAAAACACCCCTATATTGGAGGAAATTTAAACTGCTAAATAATAGTGGAATGACAATAGTCATAAATATATTCACCCAAGAAGGGGACTATAAAAAATTTACAACAAAGGATGGATGGTAATTAACAGTCTACTAATCTAAATCAATCTAAAGTTTACATTACAACCGGGTGTCACTAACATCCCAAAAGAATCCTGTCTAATCATAACACCAAAATCACCAAAAGCTATCATTCCCAAAAGTGCCTCTACTGGCATCCAACATTCAGCTCAAGCCTTTGCGAACCCACTGTCTAGAGATCTTGATATGCATGACATCTAAGAAAAAATATTAGGTTTGACGCCTAGTAAGTCCAAACAGTTTATAAATAAAGCAAGCAAACATACAACTAGAATTATAAACTTGATAAAATCCAATAGTCCACATATTTCATTTTGAAGACTATAAAGTCCAAAATCCATCTTGTGATGACAAAGGATCCCCGATTTCCATGGATAGTAGTGGAACACAAAATTAGGCCACATGTCCATGTCATAAAGCCACATAACATATCAATAGCTATTGGGTTCAACCAATCATGATCTATAGCTCAAGGCCCCCGATGATCCTAGTTAATGTTCATTCACAAGAAATTACACCATATGGTCAATGTCCGCTTCCAGCTCCAAGAGTCTGTACCATAATGCCTCTGGTAACCTAATGCCTATTTCTGGTTGTAAGCGTTTACCCAGTAAATTGTTGCATTCGATATGTTTTGATGTACTAAAATTTTACGCATCAAAATAAATTATAGTGTTGACTTCTATTGGTAAGCATTTACCGTCTAAGCATTTAGGTAAACGGCTCCTAAGTCTTTTTTGGTTTAGGTCTTCAATATTGTAAATAGATTTCGAGTTGTTTTGATTCGATTTTTTCTGCACTACTTGATTGATTCCATATATCTGTAAAATGTTTCCTACTATTGATTCATTCTTCTACTTTAATGAAATGTTTGTTTATAATCAATTTTAGATTTATATAAAACTAAGATAATTAACTAGTTCTATAGACTTCTTTGTGATTTTACTTTATTTAAACATAAGCCGACTAACCTGAACTTTTTTGCTTAAATTATAAATATAAATGATATTAGTAATCGGTGGTGGCAGTTGTGACAAAGAACAATAGTGGCGTGTCGGTTGGCAATCGGGTTACGTGAGGATGGGGGTGTGGGTGGCATGATAATATTAATTGGTTTTGGTGGTGGTGACGACAACGATGATGATGGCGGCAGGAGGAGTGGTGGGCTTTGGTGAGGTTGTGGTGAAGGTGGGGCTAGTGGTGGGCTTTGGTGAGGTTGTGGTGAAGGTGGGGCTAGTGGTGTTGGTTAAAGGATTCACCTGTTATTTTTGTCTTTTTAAAACCAAATTTCTTCACATGGTATTTTCACAATGAATAGAATTCAATTCCTTCACTTACGTCAAAGAACGATCAAATTTCTCTACCACGTAATTCCATTGAATTCAATTTGCAAATCAAACATAATCAAGGAATTTGTCATTTTAATTCCATCAAATTGTTCAGATTCTACAAACCAAACGCCCCTTAAAGCTCTATGAATTTAATCAACGTGCAGAAAACTATTATAAAAGAACAACAATAGTGTGTAAATCCGTCCGTAACTGAACGGATTTCACTTTTTTAAACATGTTTTCTTAGACGATAAACAATATCTCAACCTAAAAATAGTAGATTTGTGTTTTATAAGTCATATTTTGCTAGGATTTGTGGAAAGTTGCGAAACCGATGTACAAATATCTTGTCTATTTGGTAATAATGTTAAAAAAACGCTTATGTGGATTAAGTTTAAGCAAAATTGCTAATCTAATGATTCTCCCCCAAGTAAATAACCTGAAAATAGACTCTATTTTGAGCAAGTAAATCTAGAGACAAGATCCATTAAGCTCATTCGATCGAGTTGGCACTTGAAATCTAAACCCCTAAATTTTACAAGGAAAATTGATCGAAACAAGGGAAGCAAAGACAACCCCACAAAATATTTGTTGATTACTCGTTTCCCAAAAAAACCCTTTAAATTTGAAGGTTTGGAGAGAGAAGGAGATCAAATCCATTCCAGCTCCCTCTTTTCCTTTCTGGGCTTTTCTTCGTTTGAATATGGGTAAAAGAAAGGGGGCTGTTTCAAGAATTTACTAACCATTTCCAGAAGCATCTTATTATAATTCAGGTGCTGGTCAAAACATGCCTTCTGATTCTTGGTTTCATTCTTCTAGATTCTTCTATTTTCTGTGTTGTACACCCCTTTTATGCATATATGACTTTGTCGCATGTAAAACACCCTTATCTTTGCACAACAAAACTGGTTTTTGATCTGGGTATTTTGGGGATCTTCTCTGTTGCGTGATTTGATGATCTTGTAGAACAAAGGTTAGATGGAAATAATTGTTTTTCTTCTGTGTTGATCGTTTCGTGTTTGCTATTTGTTTGATCCCAGATCAAGGTTTTCATATGAATCATTGAATTTGCTATTTGTTTGATCCCAGATCAAGGTTTTCATTTGATCTTTAATATCGTGTTCTGTTTTGAAGATTCAAAAGTAAGGTATGCTTTTTGAAACATCAAGATTTCTCATGGGTGTTTTTCTTGATTCGATGAAATTTGCAGAAAATTTCAAGTGAAAGATAGAGAGAGAGAGAGAGAGATGGAGGAAGAGACAGCGTCAACAAGATATTGGTGCCATGAATGTGCTAGGGTCGTTGATCCGATCATGGAGGCCGAATCCATCAAATGTTCGTTATGTAACGGCGGATTCGTGGAGGAAGTCGACAGCATAAGGAGTGATCACCACCAGCAACAGGATGGTGGTTCCGACTCCGATCGTGCACTTTCGTTATGGGCTCCAATCTTGCTTGGTATGATGACCACACCTCGCCGTCACCGGAGATTTAGACAGCTTGGATTTGATGAGGACAATGACGAAGAAGACCGCCGTGATTCGGACGACCGCCGTGATTCGGACGACCGCCGCCACCAGGAAGGAGACATGGAGTTGGACCCTGAACTTGAGTCCATGAGGAGGCGGCGGAATTCCACCGCAATCCTCCACCTTCTGCAGGGTATTCGAGCCGGAATGGTATCGGAATCTGAGAACAACGTGGAGGGCGGCAGAGGGGACAACAACCGGGAACACGACCGTGATCATGAACGTGAACGCGTTATTCTGATCAATCCTTTTAATCAAACCATCATCGTTCACGGTGGTGGCGGCGGCAATCCGTTCGATTCGAGCAATCCGTCTCAAAACCACCCGTTGGGTTCTTTCGGTGATTATTTCGTCGGACCTGGTTTGGAGCAACTCCTGCAGCATTTAGCCGAGAACGATCCCAACCGATACGGAACCCCACCGGCACAAAAGGAAGCGGTGGAGGCAATGCCGACTGTGACAATCGAAGAAAACTCGATTCAGTGTTCGGTTTGTTTGGAAGAATTCGAGATGGGAGGCGAAGCTCGCGAAATGCCGTGTAAACACAGGTTTCATGGCGACTGTATCTTGCCATGGCTGGAGCTTCATTCTTCATGTCCGGTCTGCAGGTATCAGTTGCCGGCTGACGAATCAAAGATCAACCGAGAACAAGAAACGGCGAACGGGGGTGTGGGAAATTTACTGGAATCGGGAAACGGAAGGAATAACGAAGAGAGACGATTTTCAGTATCGCTTCCTTGGCCTTTTAGCAGCTTGTTCTCATCGGGATCTAATACGGTGAATCTAAATTCGAGCTCGGTGGCAGGTCCATCGTCGTCGGGAGATTCGGAGTCATCACCGCGAGGCAATGAAGCCGAGCGTAGCGATGATTGATATAAGTTTCCGAGAATAAACCAAACGAACCAGTAACATGGTCTTGAGTTCTCTTAAATGGCTGCCATCTCCCTCAGTATCTTCGTCTCTAATCCTATCTTTCATTGTACGGCCTCAACGTCTCATACATATATCATATATATATTTTTTAATTTTTTTCCATACATACATGTTGTATATGATGGTTGAAATGTATTTATCCCCCTCATTTATAAAACTTCCTACCATCCATTTATACAACTTCTGTTTGTTTGATTCATTTTTTTTATGCATAAAGTATCGTTTATTGATGTATATTACTTAAAATTCAAGATTACAAATAAATTATGTTTAAATATAATTTATTAAAATTTTATATTTGAATTCATATAGTTAACTACAGATAAACATTGTAAAATAAAGAAAATTGAATTTGTTTAATGAAATTTGTCCTATTAAATTGTGTCAAATTAGGCGGTCGGCACCATTAAATATTGAAATTAGTGAAATGTATGAGACAAATCATAATGGAATTAAAGGAGACTTGATTACAAGTTGGGGAGTGTTAACCGGTGTCAAATGCTTTGAAAATTAAATGTTTATCAAAAATTACAAAATATTAAAATTAATCAAATATGTAATATATTTTATTATTATTTTATATATTAATATACATATATTATATTTTACATATAAGAAGAAGTTTATTTTGCAAACCATGTTATTTGTATAATTCGTACAAACCTTATTTAACTATTCATAATTTTTCATTTTGTTTATTTTTTTGCAATTATGAGAGGTTGATTAATCATATTTATTGTGGAGGGTATTAATCATAGATATTATCATCTTCGTTATTTTAATTTTAGAAAAATACATGAAACAATTTTATTAAAATTTCATTAAGTATTATATGAAACAATTTCATAACCATATATGAAACAACTTCATAAAAAAAAGTATTATATAAAACAATTTTACAAGATTAAACAATTTCATGAAAAAAATTATAAGATTAAATAATAAAATCGACGGATGAGGGTGGTTTACACAGTTTGTACAAATTGGGTGGTTTGCATTTGATCGCTCATCTTTATTTGAATTTGAACAAGCTACGAAAACCATTATTTACTTGTAATATTGAATTTTAAGTAATATGTTTCAATAAACAGTACTTCATGTATAAAAAATGGTTTTTAAAAGTTTTTATCAAATATTCTATAATATAGTATAAATTTCTATTATTATATATGAATGACATATTCATATTTATCATTATATACATAAATATTAATATTATAACTTTATCTTACTTATTTTGATATTTTTAACATTACATAATTTAAAACTTATATTTATGAGTAATTATTTATTTGGTGATGAAAAGATTTTTACAATGCATTAGTTTTATCTTTATCAAATATATGATCCCTCTTAATAATATTGTTAATTAAAATGTGTTGGTTTTAATTTAACTCAAGATCATAATATAAATACAAGATTTGATGAAATTTTAAATTATTTTTATAAATTACATTATTAGACCCAAAACGATACTAAAAGTATAATGATTTGAAAAATGAATGAGATATTTATAAAATAACTTAAAAATGTAATCACTTCTACAAAAAATAATATTTCAAATTTTTTAGGTTATTTTAATATTTTTAAAATAATGTCATTAAAAATTATGAATGAAATAAAATAAAAAAATTAATATCATACAATTCACTAATTCATGGTTATTTACCAAAAAAAAATCATCCTTACATATACTTTTAATAAATAAATCATCTTTGAAAAAATGGTTACTTTTGTCGTTTTAACACAAAAAAAAAACATGTTATATATCACTGTTTGCTTTACATTTAGGTATATCACCTTCAATTACTTTCTGGTTTAGTAAAGAAAAAAAATGACTTGATGCTATGAGAAGATTATGAATTTCCGTTTAAGGTTATATATATATATATATATATATATATGTATGTGTATGTATATATATATGTATGTGTATGTATATATATATGTATGTGTATGTATATATATATGTCTGTCTAAAATCGGGTAGATGAATGGCCGATATCCAAATAATAAGATTGCCATAGTTCAAAGGTAACTCAAAATGCATTAGGCGTTTCCCGTGAAACGTTCAGTTTATCCTTTACCAAAACCATCGACTGTAGCTTACCGACATAATAATAGATGCCAACAAAGGCTCAAAAAATACCCCAAAAACGGAATCAATCACTTCACCGTCACAATCTTGATGATCGATGAGGTTCCAATGCGGTGTAAAGCCACCACCGCATCACCAATCTTGCACAGACCTTTCTCCTTAGCATGCTGCAACGCAAACTCGATCGCTTCTTCAGTAGACTCCGCATGAGAAGCTCTCGCAGATCCTGCAATCAAAACCGGAATCAAACCCCTAAAGATTAGGCTATGCCTAGCCGGAGATTCATCGCTGCACGACCAATCGAAAGAGTCGGTCTTGATTTCAGGAACCACCACCGACAGTATAGGCATGCCGGGCCGGTACTTCGCCACCAGTTTCGCAGTGCTGCCTCCTCGGGTTAGAACCAATATCAGACTGGCTTTAGATGAGATGGCGGTTCGGACCGCAGAAGAGGCCAAGCTTTCAAGTGGGCTCATGGGCACAGGTGCATTTGCAGTGATCCTTTTGAACACATCTGAATAATTTATTGTACTTTCCGCTTCCATGCAAATCTTGGCCATGGTTTGAACCGCGAGCTCCGGGTAAGCCCCGGCTGCGGTTTCACCGCTAAGCATGACGCAGTCGGTGCCATCAAGGACCGCGTTGGCAACGTCGGTGGCTTCGGCTCGAGTTGGCCTTGGAGACTTGATCATCGACTCCAACATTTGAGTGGCGGTCACAACCGGCTTTCCTTGTAAGTTGCACTTGTATACCATAACTTTCTGAGCTAGAAATATTTTCTCGATCGGAATTTCCATCCCGAGATCACCACGCGCCACCATAAAGGCGTCGGAGTTGGCCAAGATTTCATCAAAGTTGGCTACCCCTTCTTGATTCTCAACCTAACAACAATTAGAATCAATATCATTTATGGAACATGTCGGCCTTCACATTTACGAGGGTTTAATACAATTTATGAGGCTAAGACAATGGCATTAATGGCCTAAGTTTAAGAGCCGGTATTTGTTTGATAAACGCACCTTAGACATAAGAAGGATGGTTTTCGCATGTTCTCCGAGTAACTTGCGAACCTCGATCAGATCGGAACCTTTTCGGACAAACGAGAGAGCAATCATGTCGATCTTATTAGGAACACCCCACTTCATGATATCTTCTTTGTCTTTCTCCGTCATCGTAGGGAGATCCACGACCACTCCAGGAAGATTAACGTTCTTTCTCTCACCGAGAACCGCAGTGTTCTCACAACGACAACGAACCAACCCATTTTCGGTATCACAAGACAGAACAGTAAACGAAATGGTGCCGTCTGCACACAGTATCACACTCTGCGGTTTTACGTCGTGAGCTAACTTCTTGTAGCTCATGCAAATCATCTTCTCGTCGCCTTTAATGGTGTAATCGGTGGAGATGGTGATCTCTTGACCTTGTTTCAGTTGTACCGGTTTGCCATCTTTCAGAAACCCGGTTCGAATCTCTGGACCCTAAAATACAACAAACAAAATGAACAGTTTATATACTCGATTACACTAGGCATCATCAGTTTGCAGCTTGGCATGTTCTCTATCCCAAAATGCATCCAGGAAATCTCCATGGCATTTTTGGGTACTTTTGATTTTTGGAACCAAGTTCAAACCAATCAGACACCACTCTTGTGACGATATTACATACATAGAGAGAGGGGAAGTTCAAGTGATAACGTTAATTATTTAAGAAAATAAGAAAAAGGTCGTTAATGTACAAAATCACATGTAATTCTACATTAATGTACAAAAAATTGGAAGAAAAACAAAAAGCACAAACTCGGCAAAGAAAAGCAAGATGCCACAAACAAACAAATGAAACATTTGATGTTGAGCAATGAGCAATCAGCATTTGGCTGCGACTCTTGAAAGAACCATGAAGAGAACAAATGGACAAAATCAATTAAGCCCACCAATAGGAAATGTGCACTTGTACAGTACAAACCATTTTCAATGGACCTTGTTTGTTTTCTTGACAAACAAGCTAACAAAAACAAAAACAAAAACAAAATTCTATGTTATCCTTCTTCCAAATTTGTTCAAATTCATCCAAAATCGTTGCTATTACGAACTGAATTGTTAGATGATGATGAATTTGCAACAAAACCCTAAATAATTTAGTCAAAATCGATATAAACCAATCTCAGACCTAAAAAATGGAGATCTGGATTCGATTTTGGAAGCAGACTACAGAAGAAGACATTAGGTCAAACTGTCAAAGTAATACAAATGGATGATCTGTGCACAAAATGGAACTGTAGCGTTGACGTGAATAATACGCGAGAAACATTTGAAATTAATTTAACCAATTGGTGAGTAGAAACGAAATCGAAAAACATACTTTCGTGTCGAGCATGACGGCACAGAGGATACCAGTATTATCCATGGCGGTTCGGAGATTATCGAGGGTTTCCTGATGGTATTCAAAGGATCCATGTGAGAAATTGAAGCGAGCAACATTCATCCCTGCCCTCAACAACTTCTCAACCATTGGAACCGAACGAGAAGCCGGTCCCAGAGTACACACGATCTTCGTCTTCGGCCTCTTCGTACCCACTTGTTGCAGGCTCTGATCAGTCGTCATTTGATCCATTCTCTCTTCAATCCACGATCAAAATAACCCGTCACCGATTTCTTGTTCCGGAACTAAAATCTGAAACCCAAAACCAACCTAGAAATTTGTGAATTGAAAATTGGGAGGCGGCTGTGTGAGAATGAAATGGGTTCTGTTTCTTGGTTGTTTATATATAACAAAGTGAATTGGAATATGTAACTTAAACCCTTTTTTATTGAGTATGAGTTGAGGTTTTGGAATGGTTTATATGCCATATGCTCTTCTTGAAATTGGTTTCTTTTTCTTCAAGTTTTGTCTTTTCAACCTTCCAGAAGCCATTGTTTAATATCGTTTTGACCTAATTCTCAACTTTGAATATACAGAAATAAAACACCCACCTTTATTTATTATACTTAAATACAAGGATGTTTGGGATTGCTTTTTTGAAACGTTTATAAAAACATTTATTAATTTATTATAAGTTAGAAGAATTTAATTTTTTCAAAAACTTCTTATTACCAGTTTGATATCGGTATAAGTTGTTTATTCAAACACTCAAAAATGTTTATTACCGGTGTCATATCGAAATAAGTCAATAAGTTGTTTTTATAAGTAATCTCAAACGCCCCTATATAATTATTTGATTTTAAATATTTTTTAAAATAATTTTAAATGCATCCAAAAATATTTTACCTTACTTTATTTGGAATATTATTTCGAAAAAAACCTTAAAGTTGGATCTAATAACATTTAAAACAGATCTAAAACAAGTTATTGGGGTGTTTTAAAGAATATCTTTTAGATCTGAGGTAGGTTTTGACGGAACATTTAGAATCGAACTAAAGATTTTTTTTACAAGTTTACATACTCATTGACAGTGTTTTTGTGTCATACGTATTATGGGCATATAAAAACTTACATAGAGAATGTTAGAAGTGGAGGTTAATGTGGTTAAATATATGATTATTTCATCTAAAGATGATAAAATAAAGGTTGTTTCAAATAAAAAAGCTAAATATCATGAGAATGTTAATAGATAAAATTAATTGAAGGTTCATATGTGAATCATTAAAAAAATTCATTTAAAAATACATATGTTAATCGTATGTATAGTCTGTAACCTTTGTTGTTCAAATATGAATCTTCATATATGTATTTTTTCTTTTTTTTTATGGATTCACATTATATTATGACTGAATTAAGAAGTATGGATATTTATGATGTATTTTGAAGTGTATATTACATATTTATATACTAAAATTACAAAAATGGTTTTTGACAATTTTGGACAACTTTCTACCAATAAGAGATTCTAGAAGATATGGTTGACTTTGGGGATGATCAAAGGTCCAAACACACCAAATTGGTTCAATCTTCATAAAGAGATTTTTGATGGTTTTTGAATTATACAAACAAATAACATCCCTTATTTAATATATTTAAAGATTTAAAACAAACTCCAACACTATTAACTTTTCTATTCTATTTCTAAAATTCTTACACAATTTTTTATTATGAAATTGATTATTGAAGGATGTTTAGGATTGCTTATTTGAAATAACTCGTGTTTTTCTATAAAAGCACTTATCAATTTATTATAATTCGGAAAAGTTTAACTTTTTCAAAAATTCCTTATTACCAGTTTGACACCGGTATAAGTTGTTTATCCAAACACTCAAAAATGTTTATTACCGGTACCATATCGGAATAAGTCAATAAGTTGTTTTTATAAACAATCTCAAACACCCCCTAAATATATATGTCCTCATATTATAATTATATCAAGATAGATACTCAGAAAAGCTTTTTCTTGTGGTCTCTGGGAACATGCCAAGAGGCAGTGTGACCAAAAAGTATGCCCCCTCTTTCACTTCCTCATTCATAATTTTGACATACGTATATAAATATTTATTGTATATAAATATTTATTGTATATAAATATTATATATTTTTTAAAAAAATTTGTAACTTAATATTAAAAAAATGCTAAAATTATAAAGTGGGATTTAAAGTTGTTTGGAAAGGTGAGACACATGGGTTTATAATGACGCACCAAGTATGAGTAGAAGAAAAAACGTGGACCAAGACTTGGGTTGTTTTCAAATAGTTAACTTAGGATTAGAACTAATATTTCACGAATGTTTCTTTTTATTATTAAAGTAATTTACATGTTTAATCCTTAAACTTTAAAAAACGAATCATGTTGTATGTATAAATTTCATTCTCAATCATGTTATTGTCAGTGTTTAAAAAGGCATGTCATGACGTGCGTCATGTTGTAATATGGTGCAAGACACGTCTCTGTTGTTACGAACGTTTTTGTAAGACGTGACTCATGCCAAGGCGCTTTGAGGCGCGCCACGACATGCGCTTTTTATAAGACAATGAGTTTCTTTTTTTTCTTTGTTTTTTATGTTTTTACACTTCTAACTTTATATTTTATATTTTTACAGATTTTTTTAATCATATCATTCGGAGTTTCCCAAATCACTTCACGAATAAAATGAATTTGTAAAATTACCTTTCTAAGTTCTATTTTAAATATGCAATTAAAAACTATTTTATAATAATAATCTATATGAATTTTCTTCTTCTAATATGAATGTATGTTTTTAATATCATTATTTGATGAAAAATAATATATAGAAAACACATGTATTGGGGAATGTTACAATCAGGGGTCAACGTTGTGTCCTTATCGTGACGTGTAAGACTTAGGCTTGACCTCGCTTCCATGCCACAACTCACACCATTTTAAACCTTAGTCACCCATCAGGGTTGACGGAATTTGGCTTTTATTTGAATTCTTTTTAAATAACTGTACATATCAACCAAATATTTTAAAACATAACAAACGTATCATAACATTTTACATCAATTAGCATACCAAAATGGCAATTCCTTCTATGATTAATGATTTAGTATGTACAAGAAAGCACTCTTAACGACTTCTTTTTTAAACTTAGAAACCGTTTATCAATCACTTTTACCGGGTCACATACCTTGCACTTGCAATATGAGCAGCAAGAACCAATAATCTTACTCAATTAAGAGATATGACAACCACCAAAGGTTTATACCCGGTAAGTGAAGAAGAAGACTCTTGATCAATTATTGCAAGCGGATAAAAAGCTTACAAACAATTAATTTTAATGACAAAAAATGTTAACCGACAAAGGTAAGAGAATATGATGACTGTTGTCGGTAAATACTTACCTAATGATATTAACGTTTAATTTATGAACAAATCAGATTTCTCTGGATTCTCACATTTAACTACCACTTAAAACCAATTGTGCCAAGTCTTGAGGATGCAGTTGATAAAGAGTATATATGTCCCGACACCCACATATGATGCAGTCATATCCTCATCTATATTTCACCCATGTCATCATTTTGTTCTGTTCAATGAGATGGTGATGTGTCAACATATGATTTGTGGACATGGAGTTCAGAGACACCACACATGATTTGTATTCCTGACAACCACATACCATGGGGCATACCTTAAATGCAGTTGCATGCTTTGTGAAGCCCAAAAATTTATGATGTTTTAGAATCCTCATCTCATTAAATTTCTTGGGTTTGCTAACATCACCAAATTAAGCAGAGAGACAATTTTAGGAGCATCTTTCCAACTCAATTGCAAAAACAATTCCATCTGCATTAAATGTTTTCTTAAATAATAATTTTGATTAATGCATGAGCAACAAGTTACTATAACAACTTTGTTTTGGATCTACTACCAATTTCTAGCTCTGGAAAAAGGAATACCTTGTTATAATAAGCCTCTCATGGAAGAAGTCTTGTATTCATCCTATTTAGCAACTTCACTCCAAAAATTGGAAAAATTAAAAGGACAAATGGGTCACCCTTCTTTGTTAACCTGCAAAAGAACTACCTTCATCAATCCCCTCCCATGCTTCCTTTTTATGATTTCCGTTTTCCAGGTCCAAATAAATGATAAAGATGATACAAACTCCATGCATTTGCTTCTCATTGACTTACGATAGAAACGTACTCTGAAGCAAGAGGTGTGATAAATAGTCTAGAAGAATCAAAGCTCGTCATGTTCTTCGGGTTGTTCCTTGTTCATTGCTTCTAGTTTATCTTCTAGTTCCTGAAACATTCTGTAGCCATCAGAAAGTCCAACATAGGAAACAATAGGTCCCTGCTAGATTGTCTCAGCGGAAAGGGATGGAGTTTCCACAAGGCCTCGGGGGGCCTGCCACCCTGCCCTAGGACACCACAATTTACCTTCCCCATGATAGCCATGGGCCTGGTACAGGTGGGGCGCTTTAGAGGCTAGTGCAAAACCCTTTTTCCATAACAATGGTGATAGATGTGTACCTTGAGTCTTTCTTCTAGGCAAAGGGCTGGAGTAGTTAACAGCGCTGCATATCTGCAATGAAAATAATCATTTTCACAAGGTCCCATATTGTTGAGTGCATAGCAGCAAGCCTTGTACCTGGGAAGAGAGAGAGAGAGAGAGAGAGAGAGAGAGAGAGAGAGAAAGCAAGAATCTTACTCGCAACGGCTAGGTTCATCTATATCGGAAACTTCAACTTTTGATCCACATCTTAATCTGACCTGTGATATGATGAAAGAAAACCACATAAAATGTATATAGTTTACAGAAGGTTAGATACGTTAATTTATGTTTCATGCCGAATTTATACCCAATGTATGACCTTAAAAATTGTAGGGAATAGAACTTGTATAAGTTTGCAACATCAAAGGTAAATAACACAAAGGAGTTAGATACCGTTAAACTTCTATAAGGTCCATTCCAGCATTTGTCACCGGTTGAAAAGAGCATGATTCTGTATGACTCCTCAAATTTATCCCAATGCCTAACAGGTAAATGGAGAAAACCATACGGGTCAAAGAGCAATCACGGAAAACATTCAAAAAAATTACAGGTAAACGAATTGTTCGTAGTTGATCTACTCCTAATGCAAAGGTAGAACAATCTACCAATAACTGTTGCTTCTTCGGTGAAGAAAGAAAATTTGAATTTACATATTCGAGTTCAAGTGAAAAATTATGGGAAACCCCTACCCTAAATGAGTTGTGCTGTGCCCCTCCAACTGAGAGGCCTCCTTAAAAGGGCAGACCTTGTAAACGTACCTGAAATGATGAAAAGCAGAACAGAAGTCCAAATTCAGGATAAGATGATTAGGAAAAAGAAAAAAGAATCACTGAAGAAGAATTCTATGGAGGGAACAAAACAACAACAGAACACGAAGAATAGGAATGTGAAGTTTATAACTTGTTCTCTTTTATCTCAAAACATCGACCATATAATGAATAGAACTCCTTCTCTGGTCCTGCAATATCAAGCATAGCTCATTATAGATCAAAGCAAGCTCATCTATAGAAGGGGAAATTTACTTCTATGTATAGTATCAAAAAAAAGATCAAACTCACCAAAGTCATGTCCTAGCTTCTTCGTTAAACTTGATATTCTTGATTGTATTTTAGATAACTTCCCACTGGCATCATCATATTCTTTCCGTACACTTTCAGACTCTACAAAATAAACAACAATTCATGCAATTTCAGGCATGTCTTTCTTTTATTCAAATGAACAAAGAACCTTGATTTCTACCAGATGTGTCCACAGGAGTCTGAAACGGGTTAACAGCCTGTAGAAAATCCCGGACAGTTTGTTGAATCTTCTCCAACCATGATGGGCTTGTGCCTTCCATATCTTAAGCATGTAAATTCGAAAAGCCACCATCAGCAAGTGATATTCTATGCAGCTTGTGGACAAAAATGACGGTAAATTCATTAAAAATAGTTGTGCACCTTCCATTTCATCATCTGATTCGTATTTGTGTTCACTGGAATCGTCATCAGCTTCATCTCCTCCAACATCATCCATCTGATCTTCATTGTCATCCTCCTCATGGTGCTGATGGTCTTCCTCAGTTTCCGTATCATACCCACTGTCTTCCTCCTCATGTGCAGTATCAGATGTCTCATCATATTCATTATCATCATTGTTCCTAGCAGTACCTGCATCTTCATCTTGCCACTGCTCTGCTTTTTTCCCTGTCCAACGCGAACCAATGGCACGACCTAACTCTTCCCTTGATGATGACTCGGCATTTTCAGATGCATCTTCTTCCTGAATAGACGATTGTGAATAAGGTTGTAGCTTTGCAGGGAAAAAGGAACGACATAATATGAAATGATTGCACATTATACAACATATTGCATACAAGGCATTCTCTAAGGATATAATGACGGTGGTAAGAAAAAAGAAGCCCCATAGCTATAAGGAGGATAAATCAAACCAACCCAGTATACCCCACTCGGAGAGGGTGGACAAATCATATAAATAAAACATGAAGCAAGCAAGAGATGACAGTCATGTAGCAGTGAAACACACTAGCCCTTTCCAAATAACCGGTCATAAATTCATGTGCAAAGGTAGAAATCACATCAGGACCTCCACCTTAAGGGATCAACTTCGTCTCACCACTGCACTGTACTAACCTATTCCATTCATTGTACTGGGGGTTTTAACAGCTTGAAAGCATGAATCGTTCTGTGCCAAAAGAACTTCAATTGTAGTTAGTTAGTATCAACCCATTAGCAGGAAAATCCACTGTGCTATGTGTAAAGGTTATGTCTAGTTAATCAAATATGTTTAAAATAGAAAATGGTGCGAGTTATGATGGTCTTTCTGTTGAAACACTAAGAAAGCTGCAGAAGGATAAACCCCCTCCAATTAAAAAAATGAGTCTTTTGATTATTTTTGAACTTTCTAAGTGATATTAACATCCTCCTTGTGGTTTTTAAACATTAGGTTAAAATTCAATTACAATCCTACACTTTTGTCTTGATTAATTTTCTCTTGATCACCATAGTTATGTAACTACATGAGTGTCATCAAGGGTGTTTATCATCAGATTTCACACATTATAGCTCTTTTCTATTAGGTCAATCAAAATGTGATCTTTTACGACGTTTGATGGCAAAATAAACCTAAATTTCTCGTAAATAATACATCATCAATCACTTTGGTGATTTGCGTATCAAAATAATAGAAATATTCTCTTGACTTTTTTATGTTCCGAGACTGAAGCTCATTGATTTTTGGCACAGAGGGGATAGAGTAAAGCTGTAAAAGAGACAAATTGCACTCTTCCTTGAATGAACATCTCAGATACTTGATGCAGCTAACCCTTACCCCCAACCAATCGAAAAGTAATAATCATTAATATTTCATCTTCATTGAGAGCAATATCCTCCTCTAGAACACCTTACTTTCACAATAAATACTATACCATCAAATTTCATTGCTCCTTGTAGTCAGAGCTCTTAGTAGTGAAGTGAATCCCCTCACTTTTTCCTATTTCAGCTACTGCCATAATCTTATAATTGTCCAGATACTTGATGCAGCTAACGCTTGCCCCCAACCAATCAAAAAGTAATAATCATTAATATTTCATCTTCACTGAGAGCAATATCCTCCTCTAGAACACTTTACTTTCACAATATCTAGTCTATACCATCAAATTTGATTGCTCCTTGTAATCAGAGCTCTTAGTAGTGAAGTGAATCCTCTCACTTTTTCCTATTTCAGCTACTGCCATAATCTTATAATTGTCCAGATTTAGCACCATGTAGGAATGTTGCTCTACTAAATGATTCCTTTTCATCTCCCCTACCTCACATTAATTTTCACTATATCTAGTCCACACTATCAAAACTGATTGCTTCTTCTAATCAGTACACTTAGTGGGAAGTTAATCCTCCCATTCTATTTCCTATAATCCTACAATTGTCCAGACTCAAACACCACGTAGGAAAGGTGCTCTACCAATGTTTTCATCGTTTTCTAGATGACTAGAAGGTTAGTTGATCTTATGAGTGTTCTTAACAATGATTAAATACTATTGTTCAACAAGCCAATTACTTTTCCAAAAGCCCCATTGTGTGTTGTTCACTCTATAACAACAAAGGTAGAGACGGAACCACTTTCTCGATGAGTCACAAGGGTTTTAATAAAACTATACAACAACACTTAAGCGACTTACATAGAATCATATACTAAGCGAAACAAATCAAAGGCAAACTCAATAAGTGAAATATGTATCATAATCTGATGAATTCCATGGTAACTAAATAAGAACTCAACAGTTGTAGCAATTGCTCACAATGACCAAGAAGGTACCTTACTTCCAGACCCATGAGAAGGATCATGTTCATGTGCAACTTTAGATGATTCTTCGTTCTTTTCAGCATGCTATACAAAGTGAGGGGAAGTTCAGTACTGTGAATAGTGCACAAAAATATATCAGTGAAAGAATAATATGAATTTAACAATGACCTCTTCTATATTATGAACAGACGCATCCTTGTCATCATCGTCGTCGTCATCATCATGTGCCAAACTAACCCCAGGGTCAGCAGCGCCCTTGTTTGGATCCTAACAAATGAACCTGAGTGAGAGACTAGAAGAAGTGGGATGGTAAGGAACAAACAGCATCAGAAGATGCAAAATCATACTGACAAAATTGATGCAGGGAATTTTTAGACATCATGATGCTTTGTTTCCAAAGAGGGAAATTCTGTATAGATAACCACTCTAACCTGACCCGAAGGAGGGTGATTGTGAATCCTTGCATCATCGTCAGACTTACTTTCTTTATATTCTTGCTCCTGAACATTCACTATTTCTTCACCTTTTTGTTCCTTTACTGTTGCTTCTTCGGCTTCCTTTTTCTGCTTCTCCTCTTTTTCTTTCTGAATACGTTCTTTCTCCTGTGCCTTCTCTATTTGTTCCTTACGCTCTAGAGAGAGGGGGTGAACAAATTCATATTAAAATAATATATAACCTAAAACCCTCCAACACAGAAGTAAAATATGTGAAAAGCATATATCACTGCAGATAAACAAGAAGGCACTGTGAAACTTGTCAAAGAAGCTCCCTAAATGGAGGTCTTCTGGACCTTCCCAGAGACCTACAGTGAAGCCAACATGATGGGCCTGATGTCCCTCCAACCTCACACCTTTCAAGAAGGATCATATTTACTTGGCCTAAATGAAGAAGCGAATCTAATAGTTGATTAAAGACAGATGATTTTGCAAAAAGTACCCTTAAGCTGCTGGACAAGCCCCTTGAGAATGTTCTCCTCATTCTTTAACCTAGATAACTCTGCCTCATCCTTTGCTGCTAAAATTTTTGCTTGTTCAACTTCATGCTTTCTTATAATGACGCCCTCCTTAAAGGTTGCAATCTTTTTTGTTAATCTATCTCGTGCTACCTTTCCAGCTTCCCAGCAGGTATTTTTGCACTTGATTTTACCATTATACTCATCACTTCCATCACAGCAATCTGCTCAACAGAACCAGGTGAAATAAGGATAATTAATCATTACAATTACAATGCAAAGTAAGTTTTTGGCGATAATGATACAAAAGTGGAAGGATTGCATAACCATTGACCATAAAAAGAAGTATTTGTTTCTACACTCGATGGATAGAGAAATACATAGCCAAACTTATCAACCAAGAGACAATTTGGCAGGCATATGCTTTTAATAAGAACCAAAATATAATGTTAAGCATCACAACTAAAAAAATGAATTATTTCAGACCAGAACATATACGTTTTAGGGGTATCATGTCAGGTAATCTACAGCCGCAAGCTCAGGTGGTAACAGATCAAGCTTTTAAAATAAACATATCAGAATGCTTTTCCACATCCTGATGACCTGATGGCAATGGAAACAGAACATCAACAAATGGTTAAGATACTAAGATGTGAAGTTGTGACCTCAATCATGTGTGTGCGACCAAGTCATGCGACTATGGGTCGCATACGAAGGTCACGAATGAGAAAACACAAGAGCTTGTTAAAGGCGATTAGGAATTCACCTTTAACAGAGGCAAACAAGATAAAGACACAGAGATAACAGAGGGTGAGGAGAGAGAGAGATGAGAAAACATTATGTTGATTGATACCCTTTTCGAATTACAAACCAGCTATTTATACATCTACTTACAAGCTTTGGCAGTTAACCAACAAGAAAGCTCCTTTTCAACTACCTCTGTTGACTCCCGCAACTACTTCCGCTAACTCCTGTAACATAGTTTCCCCCTTCAAAAAGGCTTGTCCTCAAGTCGACATGGAAATCAGGAAATCGATCTTCAAAGTCATTGGCCACCTCCCAAGTAGCTTCTGTTGCAGAAAATTCATCCCATTGAACCAAATATTGAACTTGTGGCTTGTTCTGGAACTTAATCACTCTCCTGTCCAGTATAGCAGCTGGTCTAACATCACTTGTCACAGGTCCATCTTGGAACCAAGAAGGAACATGAGTGGCAATAGGAAGAGTACCTAAAAAGCTTTTAGCTGGGATACGTGAAATACATCATGGATTTTTGCTGTTGAAGGAAGTTTGAGCTTATAAGCTACCTTTCCAATGATTGCTACCACTTGAAAAGGTCCATAGAACCTTGGAGCCAGCTCGCGATTACTCCTGTGTTGAATGGTTTGCTGTCAGCAAGCTTGTAATTTTAGCCACGCCCAATCACCCGCCTTACACGATCTGCATGACCGCTTTTTATCAGCTTGACTTTTCATTATGGCCTGGGCTCTAACCAAGTGAAATTTGAGCAGAGTAATCATCTCCTCCCATCTCTGTAAGCTTATATAAACCGCCTCATTCGATGATTCTCCTGATAAGCAAGGCAAATGCAGGGGGGGTGGTTGGTTGTATACCACCTCAGAGGGTGTAATGTGAGTGGTTGAATGAAAATGGGTATTGTACCACCATTCAGCTAAAGGCAACCATAAATTCCAGTGTTTACGGTGTTCACCACACATACATCTCAAATATGTTTCAAGACACCTGTTCGTCACTTCAGTCTGTCCATTAGTTTCCTGGTGGTATGCAGATGACATCAAGAACTCAGTTCCATGTATTGAAAAGAGCCCTTTCCAGAATTGACTTAGGAATATTAGATCCCTATCACTCACAATGCTTCTAGGTGGCCAGCCATGGAGCTTGAATACATTGTCCAAGTAAGATTGAGCAACACGTTTGTTGTGAACGGATGAGAAAAGGCTGAAGTGAGCATACTTGCTAAGCCGATCCACCACCACAAAAATTACAATTCTTCTAGCAGATTTTGGTAATCTTGTAATAAAATCCATCGAAACATCCACCCAAACCTCCTCAAGAACACATAACATTTGTAACAACCCAGGTTTTGCCTTTGTTTCATTCTTTGCCGCTTGACATACTTGACAATTCCTTACAAACCTCCTTACATCCCTGCTTAATCTTTTCCATCAAAACATACTCTTTACTCTCCTTGTGATATCCCTTCCTGAATGGCCACTCCCGGAGATGCATGCTGCCAGGCAATAATTTTAGACTTGAATCAGGTCCTATGACAAGTTTTTCTTTCCTTCGAATCAACCCATACTTCAACTGAAATTTAGGCACTTCTTGCTGCTGCAGTTGCTAGAAAACTGTTGCCAGCATCCCATCCATCTCGTAACTTGCTCTAATTAAATTCGAAAGATTCGATGAGACAACAGATAGAGCCATATAAAATACTTTCAGCCCCTTGTACCCATAAAGCATCAGCTGCTACATTCTCCTTGCCTTTCTTGCTATGATGTTAATCGCACCGCTATAGCGGTGCTATCACGGTTAGCGGTCATCAGACAAATAGCGGTCTTAAATAGGAATCCTGCAATTAGCGGCTCTATTGGCCGCTAAATGACTGCATTTTGAATGCAAAAAAGCAGTTGCATAACCGCTATTTGTAGATAGTTTGTTTTGGTGTTAAAAGATTAATTTTGAGGGCTTTTATTTAGAACTTGCATTTGGTTTTTATTTTAGTCCAACAATATCAAGGCTTCATTATTCTTATTTTTTGGACCAGGACATCAATATTTTCATTTGTTTTGAACCATGACGCCATTATTCTTATTTTTTTGGATTTGGACACCATCACTTTGACCTCTTGATTTGAATAAAAGTACACATTGTTCAATTATTTTTATTTGAACTTGGACATTATTATTCTTATATAATTTTGTTGAATAAATAAAATTATGTTGAGTTATATATGCATATATATAATTCTAATTATTATATAAACCGCTATTTTTCGACCGCTTTACCATCGCGATAACCACTATTTCAGATCATGGTCATTGTGATTTCATATGACTGATGTAACAGCATAGCTTTCTTGTATTGTATCTCGTAATCAAACCCTATCAACTTTGACAACCAAAATTTTTGGAAAGGAGAAATTTTCTGCTATAGAAATAACTTGAGACTTTTTTTGGTTTGTTCAAATAACAGAGTGTCCCCCATCAAATATTGCTCCTATTTCTGGACAGCAAACACAATTGCTAGTAGTTCTTTCTCATATACCGACAGTCGTTGCCACTTGGGACCCAATGCCCTGCTGATAAATACCCAAAGATGCCCCTCCTGCATCAAAACAGCCCCAATCCCATTCTTGGACGCATAAGTCTCTACTACAAAAAGTTTCAGACACTCTGGAACTGTTAAGACAGGAGCAGATACCAGTGCATTTTTTAATGCTATAAAAGCCTCTTGGGTTTTCTCATTCCATGTAAAAGCTCCTTTCTTCAACAAATCAGTAAGTGGTTTACTGATTACCGTGTAATGTCTTACAAACTCACGGTAATATCCCGCTAGCCCCAAGAAATTCCTTTAACTCCTTTGCTGAATTAGGTACAGGCCAACTATCCAGCGCTGATACCTTTTGTGGATCAGTCTCCACCCCTTTCTCCGATATAAAATGCCCTAAATACTCCACTTTATTTGTAGCAAATGTGGACTTGCTGGATTTAGCAAACATTTTGTGTTCCTTCATAAGTTAAAAAACATCATTCAAATGTTGCCGATGCTCCTGTTCAGTTTTGCTATATACAAGTATGTCATCAAAAAATACAAAAAATACGAGTATGCATCTGGTTTGAACACACTATTCATCCAATTTGGAAATGATGCAATAGCATTAGAAAGCCCAAAAGGCATAACTAAAATTCATAATGCCTCGTATGCGTTTTGAAAGCAGTCCTGTAAGTATCATCCGCATGTATTCTCATTTGATGATAACCGAGCCGCAAATCCAAGTTGCTAAACACCTTAGCTCCTGCTAACTCATCAATAACAAGGATGAGGAACTTATTCTTCAAAGTTCTCTTATTCATTTCCCTATAAACGACGCATAACCTCCAAGTTCCATCTTTCTTTCCCACCAAAACCACTGGCAAAGCAAAAGGGCTGAAACTATCCTTGATGATTCCCCTATCCAACATTTCTTGGATCAACTGCTCAATGATCTCTCTCTGTTTGAGGGGATATCTATAAGGTCTAATATTTATTGCTCTTGCTCCAGGCTCCAAGGGTATAGTATGGACGATGGTCAAATACCCCTCGAGGAGGTGGTAACTCCAGTGGTTCAACGAAAACCACATCATATTTTTCCTTCAATTTCTCCAACTCCAAATAAATGGTCTTAACATGTTGCTAATTCGGCACCTCCATCCGAGATGTCTCTAGTACTTGCAATAAACAGAGTTGAGTTGTTGCTTCCATCATTTTAATTGTAGGTTCCCTTCTAGTACTTTTAGCTTCTGTAGTGGAACACCCTTTAGTAAGTAGCTTACCCTCCCATTTAAACTCCATCAATAATTTCTTGAAGCCTCAATAAATGGGTCCCAAAAAGCTAAGGGGTTGTATGGTTGGTTTTCCATTAAGTCCCGTATGGATAAAGCTGTCTATGTGGATTAATCTGTCTTTATAAATTGAGAAGGTTTTTCGTTTGTGAGTTTTTTCATAGATAAAAGGAGCCTGTCTTTTACTTGGGAGGGCAGGTTTGAAAAAAACTTGGCTTTATGCATAAAGCACCCCCTAGAAGCTTACTAAATAAGCCACTTTCTATATCATTAAGCCAGTACCAAAAAATCATGCATAACTGACCGAATAAGCTATGAATCCCATTAAGCTCGTTAAGTTGCTAACAAACATGCCCTAAGCCATTGTACTCCCAGCACCATATCGCAACTTCCCAATAAAATCAACATTACATCAGCCTCAAATGTCTTCCACTGCATTTTCCAAGAAAAATCATTACAAATATGTTGGCATGCTAAATGATAATATCAGCTACGGTTATAGCTTGTGGTGGAATTATGTTGATTGGATACACCAACTTTTGGGCCAAAGTCTAAAAAATTATGGATGCTTCAAGAATCCACCAAAATGTGCAAGGGTTTAACATCGATTGTTCTTTTGACCCTCACGGTATGGAAATTTTGATCACTAGATAGTGCATTCACTGAAATGCATGTTCATACAATTCAATGCTCGCTTCCTCCAATTCATTTTCAGACACACCAATTTCACTGTTGCTTCCAGGTATCTCTATTGTAAACAGTTGTGGCTCCCTATTCCCTAAACTACCACTTGTGTTGCTTATCATAAGATTGATCACAGTAGTAGCACAAGCCTTAGCAAAAAAAAGTTGCTCTCGCATCAGCAGAAATGTATTTCAAGTTCTTAATAGTATTTACACCAACCTTTGTCACAAGTTGTGGTAGAAGTTTGATTGGAAGATTTGGTAGTAAAGGTGGTTTAGAACCGACAAGTATAGGACCAGATTGCAACGGACGTGGAGAGAATGACCCTTGTTCTATGATTGATTTTGTGTTTGAACTGATGAAACCCAACGATTCTTCTTGTAGCCTAGCAACTTCCACCGCCCTTGCCTCTGTTCTGGGTTTAAAAGCGCGCACCATCGATTTGACATATGGTCTCAAGCCCCCAATAAAATTGTCGGGTATATAGGCCTCGAGTATTACATGATTATTTTGCAACATAAGGGCTCTTAGATTTTCGAATTCATCTATATAGCCTTCAAGAGAGCCTTGTTGTAACAATTTGTTAAAATGTTCTACCACATTTGCTCTTGTTTCATCTTTAAATCGAGTTGTAAGATCAATAACAAAATCATTCCAGGCAACATTTCGTCGGACCGACAAAGAGCTCGAAATCCAATTTTCTACTTTGTTGACCATATTCAAATAAGCAAGATCCACTCGTTGATCTTCCGGTATCTTACACAATGTAAAGTACTTGCAACATTTTTTTATCCAGATTCTAGAATTACAACCATCAAATTTGGGAAAATCAAGTCTTGGTACATACCCTAGATTCCGATTTAGCATAATTGAATCCACCACTACCGCTAATTCTTGGTGACTCTGTCGATTTCATATATCGCATCAGTTGTATCATTTCTTCGAACTTCTTGCTTTAATCGTCAAATCTTCTATTCTGATCTTCAATTTTCTTTTCTAGGCTTTTGATTTGTTCCTTCATTGTTGTTGCTACTACTTTAGATTGAATCAACCGTCGCAACAAGATCAAAGCTCTGATACCACTCTTGAAGGCGATTAGAAGCAAACAAGAGAGAAGCCAGAGATAACAGAGGGAGAGAGAGAAGAAAGAAAGAGAGATGGGAAAACATTTTGTTGATTGATACCCTTTTTGAATTACAAACCAACTATTTATACATCTACTTACAAGCTTTAGCAGTTAACCAACAAGAAACTCCTTTTCAACTACCTCTGTTAACTCCTGTAACTACTTCCGTAAACTCTCGTAACAGAACTGCAATACATTCCTTGCAAGACAGCCATCTGGTACATGTGCGACCTTATGTTGCGAAGGAAGGTTGCCGCAAGCATGAATGTGATATGGACTCAAGTCGCCTAAGCAGATGGAACCAGGTGAGCTGTTGTGTGCGATCTTGGGTCACATACCAAGGTCGCATGCAAGGCTTGATGTTTATTGTTGAAATTAGGTCTAATTTCTCCATCATTATTGCTCTTTTTCACACCAAAAGCTAATGGAACAGTTCTCAACGTCCTCCCCCGTGTTTTTTTCCCTTCCTGGGTTTCCATGTAAAAATATCTAGTGTTACTCTTTCCTTCGCGTTGCTTTCACTTATATTAGGTATGCTTATTGCTTGATGATTGCTTATGCTTGCTAGTTATCATTATTACCCTTTGCAATTTGGTTCCTCATTAAAACAATATTAGAAATTTGTTATTGATTGATCTTGGGGATATTGAATTTAGTTTGACCTAAATGGATGAAGTTTCGATTAGAGGATTGATTATCCTTCCAGATATTATCCTCTATTCACAGCATAAGACATTTGCATGATTCACATTGTGCATTGTAACAACAACAGGAACTGAAACAAATACTTGTAAGATGTTGATTAATCTATCAAGCAGGGAAAGGGTCCACTTGACCACAAACTCTAGAATTTTTCACCAAAGGGCCTTTGGCCTAGCGGTATCGTAGCCCTTGGCCTTCTAGGAGGTCAGGGGTTCAAACCTCACCATAGGTGAGGAGGGTGTGTGAGTTTATTTGTTGCATTTGCCGTATATAAATATTATATACTTCAAAAAAAAAAACTCCAGAACTTTTCAAGTACAACAGAAGCGCCTAAAGAGGGAAAACCCATGCTATGATGGACATGTCCAAATTATTATGGATAGACTACCAAGCACCCATAACAAAACATGGAGAAATCCCATATGACCCAAATCCCCAAGTTTAATCCACAATATCAAATAGCACTTCGACAATAACGTATTGTCTCTTTTACACTTGTGTGGTTGAGTCTATATTTGAAGCTTTTGAGTCGATAACATACTTACACCCAAAACTGTATGATTCATAGTTCAAATCAATTCATGAAGCATCATGTTGGTATAAGAATAGAAATTCTATTTGTATAGTTTTGTGGACTTAGGTGTATATTCATCCAAAGCTTATTAGTAGCCACATGAACAAAAGTACCATTTTCTAGTGTGGTAAAGTCATTACAGACGGACAATTAGACAAAATAGCTTCCTCATAATAAGTATTTTGGTGTACCCATAACTAGAATGCTTTATTTTTTAGTTTTATATCTTCACAATATTATACAAGTTACTCAGAGAACTTTTAAGTGAATCTACAGTTCAATGTTGTTCACAATTCATAATATTAGACAGTATAGGGGATCTCAATTCATAAAATTAGTATAGGTTTCTCCATTTGATTCCCTATTCACAATTTCATATTAAGTCTTGTAATTTGAGAAAAAGGGTACACTTTTACTTATATATTGTACTTCTAAGGATATAGATCAAACATATAAACATGCTTTCTAATTTCTATACAAAATGCAAACTTGCTCATAGCTAGAACCTTGATTTTGTTTGTTAATATAACAAAGAGTGATGTTAATACCCAAAAACCCAAAATAAATGCTCATCATCCAAGTTCCTGAAAGAGTGTCTATAAAAATATAAAATCAAATTCTGGACATTTGGGCATATAATTTCATTAATTTAATGTTATGCTAGTTAAATCTTGGTTTACTAGTTAAATTGCTTGTTTGGTGGAGTAAGTTCTGGTAGTCCAGAGCTTCTTTAAGGAGATTAGGACACACAGATGCCAAAGAGCAAGACTACAAATGAACAGACAAAGAGGATATGATGTTAAATAACGCACTCATTTCATCTTAGAGGTTAGACCATCAGAAGGGTTAAACACTTCAGGATTCTAGTGGAGGTTACTTTCATATGAAAAATAAACATACGTCAAAAATCTATGGTCTTTGACTTTTTTTATGTGCCTGTGTGTACATAGCACAAGCGGGAGGCGGTGTTTTTATTTCATTGTAAGTGGTTACTCAAGTTTGATCTAAATCAACAATAGACTAACAGTATGAATGTATGATCTTTTACCCATGCTTTCATTATATTGCCATCTCCATGTTCCCCAAACTCAAATGATACTTTTGACAAGATACAGTTCAATTTAATTAAAGAAGTGATTGCAAAAGTTCTAAGACTTTCAAAAACATTCATTGCAGGTAATATGGATGCAATAAGAAGAGAGAGTGGGTGAAAAAGTTACTTACCACATATCCCATCATTAACCCGGGAAGAAAATATAGAAAGTGGAGTATGTCCTGCATTTCGGCAATAGAATTTCCCACTAGGACATGCTGACGTTCCTGCAATGCCAATAGTTATATTAAGATGACCACAAACATACCAAGGCTGGTTCAAGATACATTTAGGTTATACTTCAGAGGTTCTGACCAATTCGTTGGCTCAAAAATACGTTTAACAAAACCTCCCACTGCACTCTCTAATTGTAAGCAATAATCATCGACTATCAGGCATCTTCTTCTCTCAGTAAGAAGAAGAACAAGAAAAGAAAAACTAGTTAAACTAAAAGCGAAATGTCATGATCATATGCTTTCAAGAACTTGAACATGTGGCTAGTAAATAAAAAACAGTGATTAAAAACAGCAAGAAATAGAACTCCAGTGATGAGCAATTACAAATCTGATTCTAAGTTGCTAATTTCGTGATATATTTTTATTTTCTATCAGATAATAGCTAGTAGACCTGGCTCGTCGGTGCCATCAGAACAATCACAAAAATCGTCATTAAGTTGAGTCGTTGTGAATGTTTTAGATCCATCTTTGCATATAATCGTTCCTGACGAAGATAAGCCCTTGTAGTATTCCTCGTCTGTTCAACAAAAGAAAGACATAACTGAAAAAATTGATAACAACGGAACAATCATTCAATCACCAATCAGGAACATCAGAGTAGAAATTGCACCTTGAGGAGCAACTCCGAGAAGGTTTTCTGATAGAACAACGGCCGATCTGAGAACCAACATCGAATAAAACACGAGCAGTATGTAGGATTGTGTCTGTATCTTCATTTTCATTTTCTATTACTAATTTAAGTCGAAATTATGAATCGAAGCTCGAATTATACAACGCGATTCTCAGATCATTTGAATCCCTATCAGCCGTACCTACACAACTCACTGTGATTGCAGTTGTGCGAAGCGAGAAGCCGAGAAGCAGACCGGGGTTTAACTTCAACCAGACTCGGGGGTGTTTGGGATTTAAAACAACCCTTTTTTTTTCTTTTTTTTTCCGATGTTTGCTAGTTGTGTAACTATACAATGTAGCAGGAGTCGTGATTTTTAACAATGTTAAAGTTTTATTGGTTTTATTAGAGAAGACTTAACGATGATATAAGTTATACTCGATCTTTACATATTAATACAATTTCAATAAATAAGAGTTATGGTTTCAATTACAGTTTATTGATGAAAAAAATTGTATGATAGTTTAAAATCCAACGTATTAAAACGACTCCACAAATATATTAGATTTACACCAAGAACAAAGAATCAAGAGATCGAGAGTGAGACCGAGAGTTCTAGATCAATTGAATGGGAGATGAATGAGAGAACTTTTAATAACTCATGATGAATATCAGTTTGAATCTCACATTGGGGATAGGGAAAAGACATAGAGGTATGAGAGGGTGAAGACATGAGTGAAGGGTGTCAAAAGTATCTCGGGAACATTAAAATAAAAAGTAATAATGTGCATTGGTAATTGTACTATATGTTATTTTAATCGTAGATTAAGAGATTTTAAGACTGAATGCATAAAGTAGTAGTACTTAATGCATTATAGGTTGTTTTTAAGACTTTGTACATAAATGTATAGTACTTTGTGTATTAAAAATTGTTTTTAAAACTTTTGACAAATCTGGTTTATAAGATAGTATAGATATGTATTAAACCGGAGTTTTATAATAATAAAAAATGGATTCGCTTATGGTAATTTCAAAATGTAATAAGTTGATAAGTTAATTTTTAGTATTTTATAAATTTTGTTTATACATGTCAAATGACCAAAAAGGATCTTGATCGTCCCTGTGATTTTACTTATACAGAGGGTTACTTTAGGGCAAATTTTACTTATACAGAGGGTCACTTTAGGTTTAGGGCTAAAAGCCCGAAATTCAAACAGTCAAATCTAGATCGATTGCCCCTGTGATTTCAAGATCGTCCCAATGATTCAAGATCTTGACCCTCCCTATGATTCCATTAGTGAAGAAGATGGACAGGTGTGTGAGGGAAGAGGGACCGGTGTATTATAATGAAACCATGGGGGAACGATGAAGGTAAAAGGGACGATGAAGTAGGGAGGAGAGAGACAACGGAGGAAGAAGAGGAGGAACTTTACCAGAGGATAGGATTGTCACCGTGGATGGGGAGTCGATGTGGCTGGATGGAATAGGGCGCCAATGTGGTCAGAGATACGATGGGGCGTCGATGAGGCTGGAGAATGGGATGGAGCTTTACCAGATGATAGGATTGTCATCGTAGGAGAGAAGGTCTATTAGAGTCAAAAAAGTAATTTGGTTTTCAAATCTAATAAGTTGTTTCTGATAAGTTAGAAGATAGTAACTTATCAAAAACTCTTTATTATCGGTTTGACACCGGTATATGTAATGTTCGGTTTTAAGATATAGTTGGTCGGGTTTCGAAAATAGATAACAATGGAAAGTTCAGGGGTAAAATTTGACATTTGTTAGAAGATGAGGGACCAATAATGAAACATTGGTCACTTCCTTGTGTTAATCTGATGTTGGTCCAATAGGTTGGTAGTTGGCTGAATTTTCATGGGGGAGGGTGTGCATGACCATGCACCGCCTCAACCCCCCCCCCCTCTTTACCCCACTTACTATATGTAGTAAGGGCATTGTACTGGGAAAGGTTTTGGTGGGTGAAAAAGTTTCAATGAACTAGAGCATTCAGTGAAGTCACAGTAAAAGATGAGTTTTACAATGTTTTGGTAAATATGAGTATAACAATTCTGGTAGTATATTGTGTTATATGATATTAGTTGATAGTATTTCAAAAGTTATACCAATTTTGTTATATTTATTATCGTACAAAGTATGGTCCAATAAGGACCTTTATCGTTCACAGTGTTGTCTGATGCGAACTCTTTATCGTTCAAAGTGTTGTCCAATAAGGACCCTTATCGTTCACAGTGTTGTCCGATACGGACTCCTTATCGTTCAAAGTGTTGTCCGATAAGGATCCTTATCGGTTAAAGTGTTGTCCGGTGAGACCCTTATCGCTCAAAGCTTCATCGGGTGAGACCTTTCATTGCTTAAAGTATTGTGCGATGAGACCCTTTATTGCTCAAAGGGTTGTCCGGTGAGATCCTTCATCGCTTAAAGTGTTGTCCGTTGAGATCCTTCATCGCTCAAAGTGTCGTCAAGTGAGAGCCTTCATCGCTCAAAGTGTCGTCCGTTGAGACCCTTCATCGCTCAAAGTGTCGTCCGTTGAGACCCTTCATCGCTCAAAGTGTCGTCCGTTGAGANGTCCGTTGAGACCCTTCATCGCTCAAAGTGTCGTCCGTTGAGACCCTTCATCGCTCAAAGTGTCGTCCGTTGAGACCCTTCATCGCTCAAAGTGTTGTTCGGTGAGACCCCTCATCGCTCCTCATCACTCACAGTATTGTCCAAAAAGAATGTGTTGGACTTCGATAAATGAAATGTCGATGTAACTGCGATACATAAAATGGTGGTGTAACCGCGATAGATGAAATGACGGTGTAACCGCGAAAAATATTTGATAATTTTATCATAAAAAGAATCAGGTATGAACTGTATTAAAGTATTACAACACTTTTTATTTACAAAAGGGAATTTCACTCGCTATATCTTCTAGTTTAACCCTCAGTTGTTGTAATAATTTATTTTGCAGATCATCAATCATCGAAGGATAAAGGCAAAGAGAATATGTGATAGAATCATAGAAGAAAGTTTTTGTTATGGCAAGATTTTTGTTAATTCAGATTTTTGGGTTATTTTATGTAAACAAACTTGAAATGTTTGTAAATATTGAAACCTGACATATACTATAGCATGAATTCTATTGTTTGTACTTGGTGGGTTGTTTCAGTATAAACATTCTCTTTTTTCCCCATCCAAACACTAAAAGGGATTATTTCCGGTACCACACCAAAATAAGTCAATAAGCACTTTAAATAAGCAATCCCAAACACCTCTTAGAATGACATCGTCTCCGGTCCACGTCTCTCGTCCCAATCTTTTTCCTACTAATATATTTCTTTTTCTTATTGAAGTAATATTTCTTTTCTTTTAATCACTTATTTTTGGCGATCTCTCAATTTTTTCATTTTTATATACCACCTATGATAATTAATTTGGTCACCAATTTTTTAAGGCAAAAAATGTTATTAGATCACGAAGGTGAAACAAAGTAACAATAAAAAAAAAGGAAACACGAGAAGCAGAATCTGTAAGGTGCAGAAATTAAAAAGACAGAAAATCAGTCAAAGGAGAGAAAAAAGGATACAAACCCCGATGTGGTCAAGTATCTCAAGCCCGTCGACGAAGATTTATATATAACCATCATAACCGAAGTCTCTCGAAGACCATGAACTCCAAGAGATGTTAAGGTATTTTGACCATGATGAAGACCAAAAAAACGATAGTAGTTGGGCTTAAAAAATTATGTCTGAATGATTATGACGTTGGTTGCAATAGAGAAGACCAAATCATTTTGATTTCTCTGAATTACATAAAGAGAAGTCCAGATTGTAGATTGTGTTACTCCACGTAACAAAGATGCGGCTGCCCGATTAGGAAGTTCCAAAATGTCGTTGACCGTCAATGAGGACGCCAAGGACATTTTACACCATCTATGCATTATCTCTCATACCTGTAAAAGATTAGAACATGTTGTGAAGCAATGATCCAAGGATTTGACCTCCAATCCACATCTTTAGACATAACACCGAATGGAGATTGAAGCCAAGATGGTTAAGGTACTCCCCAACTGGGAGTTTACCCAGCCTTAGTCCGATTAGCAACTTTAGAAGAATGAGTTTACACCATGGGGCTATGCAACTTTATAAGAATGAGTTTACCCAACCTTAGAATCAATGAGTATAGTTTTAGACTTGGAATCAATACCAAAGTTTGACCTAATTGTTTATATTATTGATTTAATCTTTTTCCCTTGTATTTACATGCCTAACTAGCAAGTCCCTAAATCAAGTTTAAATGCAGAAGCTAGTGGGTAGGTATGAGTCCTCATGGAAAAGATGAAGATGGTGAAAATCTTGAATCATAACCTTTCATTCTAGGAGGAATTAAGACTCATAAATGATACAGGTGCTTCCAAAATCGGTCCCTAGGTTTTTAGTTAAGATAAAATGTAAGTGGAAGGGAGTAGATGGAGTGCGTAATGAGAACAAGGACCAAAATCTCGGTTTAAGCAGCAAATGACCGTACAACTCAAGTTTTACATGCGTTTCACACCTATAAACCCCCCCCCCCCCGGGAATGCACCAGACACCCATACCTAATTTTTTGCTGCTATTTCACTCCCGAGGAGGGTTTTTTCATGCCTACCATTTTGTTACCAAATACCTCTTTCACTCCTAAACTCAAATCCAAACATCCTACACCTCGTAAAACTTTATTCTTAGCATTCTCAGGATAAAATAAGTATAAAATCCTAAAACATTACTTACTTTAAATTTTTCAGGTGTTACAGTTTTTTGGTTCAAGATTTGAACCAGTCACTGAACCAATCTCCAAAACAATCGACATTTTGGTAGGTAAATAAAGATGAGACATTTCTATTGCAACATAATTTTTACATATATTCGAGGACGATAATTCAGATGATGAAGAAATTTATCCAGTAAGGAATAGTTTTTGGAGTATGCCCTACCTAACACCTTGCACTGCCCCAGTTATCAAACCCAGAAGAAACCTTTCCTACCAGCCCACATCACATGTAAAAGTCTACAAACATTTGACAAGAAAGAAACATTAAATCTGGCATTGGGATTAAAATGCATTCATGAAAACTTCTAGATAAAGGTTAAAAAAAATCATCCAAACACCGCTACGAGGTAGTATATAACTCCTCATACTGTCCTTGGCATTTAATGACAGTTTCTACCAATGGTATCGGTATCTTTCAGGTTTGGAAGTTACATGATGAACATATTTGTTCAAAGTCCCAAGTCCATCAAAACCATTGTAATACGAATAAAAAGGTTTTGGGTCATACATGGCAGTGAGTTTGAAGGACTGTAGGAGAGTCTACCATGGAAAAGAACTCATGGAAGATGTGAACCAACAGTTCAATATTAGCATCTCATACAACCACGCATGACGAGTAAAGATATATGTCTTACAACTGTTAAAGGGGACCCATGAATCGTTGTTTGACCTACACCCGATTTATTGTCACAATCTGAAGATAGTGAATCTGGGGATTGTGACTGAGACCGCCATTGATGAATTAGCTTGTTCGATACGTTATTTGTCGTGCTTGGTTGTTGGGTAAGAATAATTTTCATTATATTGTTTAAATTTATAAATTTATTTTGTGTTTTGAGGTTTATATTTGTAACCTCGATCATCAACAAATCCATTCGTTTCTGGAACATTTGCAAAATCTCCTTATAATACATGGTGCTCATCTGAAGGGTCCATACGTGGGCAACATGTTCTTAACGATCGACATGGATGGAAACAACCAGATTGTGCATATTGCAATGGGAGTGAGGAAGACAGAAAGCGACCCGTCATGAATATGGTTTTTATATAGGTTGAAGCCATGTATCGATGAAGTGTCTAATTTAACCTTTGTAATCAATAGAGTTGTTTCTATTGAGTTGCTCATTAGAACGGTATTCTCCAACGCACATCACATACTTTGTTGTCAGCATTTAAGCTAGAACTTGCATCTAACCTCGCAAAGAGACAAAAGAAAAAGGTGGATGTTCTGGGAGACATGCAAATCTTATATGGTATTAGAATTTGATGTGTCACAAACTCTGCAACCTCCTTGGATTATCACTTAATTTATCTTTAATTTTACCTATAATTTATATTTGTCCCCTCAACGTCAATAAACTTTGGACGAACATCTATTAGAAAAATCATATATTAATGTTGTAGAAAAATACATTAAACAAAAATAGACTATTTAGTTAAATGATTTTTTTTACAATTTCTACATATGGTTCCATGATATATAACGATGGAAGGTGGTACGTGGCGACGAATGGTGGTGGACTACGGTGGTAGCAACGGTAGCAACGACGGACGTTGGTGGATGATTATGTTCGTTGGCAAGGTATATGGTGGTGGACATCAGAATACAATGGCTGTTCAGGATGGTACGTGGTGGTAGATGGTGATGGAGAGGATGTATGTATATTGTATATATAAAATGATGGTCCCCCACGTATTATATACTAGATTTTTTGGTCAAAAATCTTCTCTAAATGGTAAAATATCACCCTTTACGTGTGTCAAATCCGTCATAGAGTTGTCAAATGAGCCCTAAAATGTGTCATAGTTTGTCTCCAAAAGAAGATGAAATAAGGGGCACAAATTGCCCAAGGTGGAAGATTTTTGTCATCCAAATCGTAAGTATGTGGGACCCATTCGTACCAAAATGTAAAAATCGCCTTACTAGAGGCAAAAATCGTCTTACTCAGGTGATTTTTTGGTCATTTTATAAGAATAGTTTTAAAAAATAGTCATTTTGTTAAAATAAGCTATGAAAAATATCATTTTAAGTAATTTCCCTATAATTATTTGGTTTCAAGGATCAATATGTAATTTTCATATAACCATAGGGACTCAATTTGTAATTTACTCTTTATTGTATGCTTTTAATTACCGAGACTCATCCCATTTATCACCCTGCCACAAAAACCCTATAAAAAAAAATTCAAAAACCCCTGTTTCTTATCCATTACCTGTTCTTCTTCATCCTCTGTAACCGCCCTTCAAGAACCTCCAACGGGAGTCACAGGATACTTCAATGGACACAAGCTCTGTTCTAATGTCTACACCATCATCATGCTCATATATGTCTTTTTCATCATGTTCTAAACCTAAATTTACTCCCAATTCATCTCATTCTTCCTCTTTTATTTGTTATCCATTTTGGAAATGCCTGCGGTGGAATTTCCTCCCGCCAACGACTACCGTGATCTTCTCTGTACCTAAATCATCACTCTTTCGCACCTCGGCGCTTGCGGTTGGGGAAATCTTGGAGAAGTCTACGTTGGAGGACTCTGTTTCGTCGTTGCCTAAAGAGCCTATGCCGAAAATCGATAAAAGTGGGAGGTTTTGTAGTCCTAGAGCCGCCAGAGAGCTTGCACTGTATGCCACTTTATACCTCAAATAGATAATTAGATACCTTGATTTCAGTGAATTTCGAATTTTGTTTGTGTATTGGATGTACTCCAAGAGAGTAACTTGGATTGTTCTGATTACTGATGTAGCTGTTTTGTTTGAAATAAATTTTATGTTGCTAAATGCTAGGTCAATCATATATGCTGCTTGTCTAGAAGGATCCGACCCCGTACGGCTGTTTGACAGGCGAATCAATGCCAGAAGAGGTGCCTATATATATATATATATATATATACTTAGACTGCTTGATGTATTTAAGAACGAACATTCCTGTAGATGCTTATAAGAATTTACGTGTCAGAAAGTAAAATTTTGCTAATATTTACATGTCAGAAGCAGTTAAGTATTGGAGAAATGAGATTGATAGAACAGAAATATAGCTAAAAATGACAAAGATCTGTTTAGGACATATAGGTGCTTCTATGAATTCTGTTGCCAATGTAATTGCAAGCATTTACTTTTGTGCCTTTGCGGTGTGCTTTTTGGCAGTTCAAGAAAAAAGAAATATCTTCATTAACTAGCTTAAGTTTTCTTGTCGATAGCAATTGCGAAGCGGTTGTTCCTTTTCTTTTATCCCACACTCCTTATGGTTTTCTCAAATGCTTCTAAGCAGACCCATCTGCTTATACGTAGTTTATGCCCTAAAGACATCGTGTCTGAATCTTATCTAATTAACATCTTTGAGCCTCACCATAAAGTATGTTTGTGAATTCAAGAAATAGGGTATGAGTTCGATAAAGAGGCATTGATGGAATACAATCATATGAGCTTTGGAGGACCCCCTGTCAAAACCGAAACAACTGAAGAAGCTGATGAGCTTCTGCGAGTAGATGAGAAGGCCTCCGAAGTTGGTAATGCACTTGACAGTTATTCACATTTCCTGCTTGTAGTATTTATTTTTATTGTAATGTATTTATGTATGGTATGTTAAAATAACAGGTTTCAAATAGACAAAATTCTAGCTCAATGACTCGATCTTTTTCAAACATCTACTTGTCTGCTGCCTCTCATATTTTTTTTTGCTTTTACATACAAACCCTATTATCTTTCAAGCTAATTATCTTCTTGCAACAAAATCATTTCACATGATGACAGCTTTTGTTTCTGTGATACAAATATCAAATAAGTTTCATATAGCGTGCAACAGAAATCAATCAGCCAAATTCTCCGAAAAATTCCACTCTGTCAGATACACTCAAGTGATTGTCTTTATAGAAGTCTAGCATTTTTCGTTCAAGAAAACTAGATTCCTGGCTCTCAAGGTTTGCCTAGATGTCAAACAAACCTTGCTAGTTGGTGACAGCATGCATCAATATATGTTATGTTGAAAATAATTTCTTTTGGCAGCTATTGGAGAAATAGACAGAGCAGTTCAAAATCATGTCCAAATAAGGTTGTTGGTTAGCCTATTATTTGTGCAACATATATGTTAAATTGCATTTGTAGCTTTGCTTGTTATGAGGACTTGTTAACATGACCAAGTCTTCTGTTTGGATATATGTGACCGAGAAAAAGGCCACAGCTAAGAATCAGTTTATTGAAACCCCATGGGTTGGCCTAGCAGTCAACCACTCGGTCTGGAGCCTCATGCGACATTAGGTGCTATCAAACTCATTTGAAGGCCACATCTATTGGTTGGAAGACCTAAAGTTGGCTTTGACCGCGTGGAGGGGATACTTTCCATCAACTTTTGGGCTAGTTGGGCCAAAAGCATCAAATACCTTATTTATCATAAAAAACAAAGAACCACTTAAATTAATTTCTTTATTTCTTATCCTCTCCTTTGAAGAAGTACAGATTAAAATGTTTTTGGTGCTTCTAATGAAGCCTGTCAGTTGTGCCTGGAGTACTTAGACCATGAATAACATGTAGTCCTTCAGTTTCCATAGGGAATTCACATTTTTTACCATGCCCATCACTGGTAGGTAGTTTCTTGTAAACCAAACGAGCCCAGTTTATCGTGCCCATGGGTGGGGTTTGGGAGGTGGGATGTACCATGCATGCAAACCTGACCTCTATCCCAAAAGTAGAGCGACTGTTTCTGTGAAGACCCCAGGTTTATGCAAACATGCGAAAACGTAGTCAGTTTCTTTGTGCTATGAAAATGCTCTTGCTCTATCTGGAAGCGCGAACTGAAAATCAAGGCTCTTTGTGTGCATTACTTCTGACAGTGAGCAATTTAGCATCAACTGAAAAATTCTTCAAATAGCTTTTGCTTTTCATGGTAAACTCTCTCTACGATGTTTGACGTAATTTCGCTCTTTTATCTCAGAGGCGGAAGTCCTTTCAGCCCCTCCAAAGTTGGTGTACAGTAAATTAATCTTGCGGTAAGCATTCAACATGAGTAAAAATTTGATAAAACTCTTGTTCTAATAACTGTGTGCCTGAGAATAATAGTTCTGTTTCTTGTCTTCAAATTCAGCTTCACAAGGAAATTATTGGTGGCGGTAGCAGAGAAGTGGGATGGCCATGTTTTGGTCATCGATAAAGTTGCTCCACAAAATTGGAAGGTTTGAAGCAAATGCTTGCTTGCTTAGTACTCCCTCCTTTCCCAAAATACATGCCCACTTTAAAAAATAAATGTCTGTTTTGCAATTCTACACCTTTAACTAAGAGAGAGAGAGATTCATTGCTCTATAAAATTGTCATTTAGTTAATCAAAAAGTATAATAATTATACGCTACTATGCATACAATTTAAGTGTGTTTTGAAACTTTTTTCAGAATGAACCAGCAGGCAGAATCTTGGAGCTTTCTATTCTTCACTTGGCAATGTCTGAAATTGACGTGCTAGGAACACGTTATCAAATTGTGATTAATGAGGTGTGTTCCTACATACCCTTTTTAAAAAGATCTCGTCCTCTTTGACATGCATATCGGTGTAGTTTTAAATTTTGACCACAACATCCAACTTACCGAAAAACATTTGTGGGTGTTTGTAAAGGCAGTAGATCTTGCAAAACGGTTTTGTGATGGATCAGCACCCAGAATAGTGAATGGCTGCCTGAGGACATTCATTAAGGACCTCAAAGGAAATAGCAATAGTGTGGTACTGCCACCTGCACCTGATCTTGAAACCGAAAAAGAAATCACCTCAACCGACTCGTAAATTTATGTTTTCTGAATATGCGACCCCCACCTTCCTCTTCGGACTTGGTGAGTACGAGAAGATAGAGACTCAAGAAGTATGCTTCACTGAATTCATGCAAAGATGCAGGATTTTGTGCACTTGTTGGCAGGTGTTGCCTGGAATACCAAGAGAACACCCCCTTTATTGTGCATCTAAGAGGGTGTGATGGATCTACTACTACATTTGCATGGTTATTGAAGTTGACATTTATTTGACAACATAATCGTGTATAAATCATGTATTATTATTGTCTTTTTAGAATTGAACATTCCGTTGTTAAAAAATAACTTGCATTTGGCTTGTATTAAGATGTATAATTCATGTTGTTGTATACGGTTTTGTTTCTCTTGCAGAAGCATTCTTCTCCTGACCAAGGGAAGCACTAATTTCTTCAAGAATAGTTTGGATGAATCTATTAAATGGCCTGGCTTGGTCTTGGTCATGGTCATGGTTATGGTCAATTGGACGGCTTCAGAGTAGAGATGCACAAAAAGATCGAAGCATGAAGCCTTGCTGGAAAAAAAAAACCCGAGTGTAGCAAATCCAAGGCCTAGACTAGGCTTTAGAGTAGAGACGGCCACAAATCGGTCCCAATCCTTGTCCCGATCATTGTTGCCGCAACCGATCTTGGTCCTGGTCGAAATCTTCAGGCCCGGTTATGAGAACCAATCTTGGCCCGAGTACCAGGCCGGTATTTTGTATTTTTTTTTAAATTCGATTTTTTACATAATTCTTTTTTTGAGACTTTCTTTTAAAGAATACACTTGAAAAAATGTAATTGGGTTAATTAAATACATTTAAAAAAATATATTTTATTATAATTTTATAATTTGTTTTCAATCAAATACACTTAAAAAGTTTAAAGTATATCAATGTAAATATGCAATCCTAGGTTCCTTCATTTTGAAGTTTAAGAAAGAGCTTCAACATCATCAAGGTCGGATTCATCATCATCATCTTCAAATTGGGAGTGTTGTTGATATCGGTAGTTGGCAATGTTGATAGGTTCATGGTTATACATTTTCATCCGAGATTTCTTCCACCTCTATAGTTGAGTTCTTTCATTCTTATCCAAATAATCTTTCAAACATACACACTCCACATACTCTAGGCTTAATTTTGTCTGGCACATCGAAATAATCTTGCCACTAAGAGGAAAAGCGTATGCCAAAGCTACGATACTAGCTTGGATTGTTAGTATATCACGGGTCATGCATACCAAAACCGGAAATTGGGGTTGTTTTTGTTTCCACCATTCTAATAAATCAATATTTTCAAAATCTTCGACATTAGAAAAGGAAATAAAGTTAGTGCATATGTACATATTTAGTTCACTCAAATCGGTATCAGGTCTAGATTTTCTACTCGTTTCATTTTGAGCCTCGTTAAATAAGTTAGTCATTAACTCCTCCTAGTTTTGGCAATGACCACTAGAACTAGAACTCGAAAATAAATGACTTGAAGAGCTTTGTTATTGATTTCTTCCGCCAAATTTATTTTATGTTGATTAAAAAATCGCTAAAATTATTATTAAAGACACATATTTGTTTTTTTGAAAAACTGGTACTAACAGATGTATCTAAACCAAAATATAAACATATACTTGAAATTAAAACTCCAACACAGTAATATTTAAATACGGGTTTAACGTGCGACACGCATAAAGGAAAATGGATTGCTACAAAATATTTTAACAATTTTTCTTTCATTGAAGCAACCACCATCCCCTAATCATGATTGTCTTCGTATTATTGTATCTTACTTGCCAAAATAAATAATTGATTTAAAAGTAAATGACTTGTTGGACAATAAACACCGGATAAAAAAGTTGTTGCATTTTTAAAATCGCCCAAGATATCGTATTAATCCCTCAAGCGCGGCCCAGCCTAATACACCAACACAGTGTTACGAGCTTAATGAATAATGAATTGTATAAAATGTTTGCAAATAATTTTTTTGTTTTATCAATTTTTCAATCATAAAATAAGTCGAATTTAATATAATAAGAATACCAAAGTTGGGTCCCAAAGCTTAAAAACCAACATCGTCGCAATATTTCCTATACACAGTGCATTTTTTTTTTACCTTTTATGAAAATTTGCCGTAATATATGTCTAAACTTATCTTGTACGAATTTACATGTTCTTAAATCATCTTGAATGGCTAAACTGATAATGGGTACACAACAGCGTGTATGAAATAATTGATCGTTTAAAACAAGCATCAAACCTAACTTTAATTTATCCACACATCGCGTATTATTACTAGCATTATCAAATGAATTACTAATGATTTTAGAATGTAAATTATAAGATGAAAGACTTCTTTTAATAATTTGAAATAAATGAATACATGAATGTGACGCACCAAATGCTTCAAATATGATTACACGTTTTACTAGTTGTCACGATTGTGGCTCAATCCAGTGACACATTATGGATATATAAGAATGTGGCAAACCGTGTAACACGCTCCATACGTCACACGTAAACAAAATGTTATTAGGCAAAAGAGAAAACATTTGTCGCATTTCATTTTGACACGTTTTCCACAATTTAATTATATCATGTCTAAGAGTTTGACGACTTACCTGCACATAGCAAGGTTGTAGCTTTTTTGGATGAGGTTGGTAATGTGAATGTTATCAAAATGTCTGGACATCAAGCCGACTCAAATGACACATTATGTTGTCATTTGACGGTTCAAATCGACGTCGAGTGTCCATTTTCCACCTTGATTATCAAGTATAGATTGATTTTCATCACCTTCCGCCGACCTCAACCACGAGGAGATTCCTTAGAAATGCTCCTATGGATGACAGGCTCAGAGACATGGGATGTAAGAAAGCTACCTTCAGCATCGGTAAAGTCCCTATCAATAATAGGTCGGAATGGTAGGTTAGGGGGCATGTTTTTTCAGTGTGACGCCTCAAGTTGGAATTTCCCTCGGCCATAAGGAGAGCATAACACATTTTATATTGTGTCTTCCTTTTCCCGTTGGCGAGTAAGACCATACTGTAAGAATTCCAAATCTCGGATTTTCTTCCACGATCGGTGATAACTTTGACAATGCTTTCGTTGGATGCATAATGTTGGGCGGCCATCTTGATTCTTGAGTAAGTAATAACAAAAAGAAAAAAAGAGAGAGAGATGAGAAGTAGGATTTGTTAAAAACCGAAATCGAATACGAGCCGAAATTGCGAATTATAGCCAGAAGTGTGAACGTTTTCTGCGTTTTTGAGTTGGTATCTTTCCCCATACACCATATAGCTTATATATAGTGTATAGAGGCTCAAAAAGACAAAAAACGTAAAATGGCAAAAACCGGTCGTAAGACCGTTATCCCAGCGCTATAAACGGTAACTTTTGAAAAAATCATATCGGTTCGGGCCAGTCCCATAACCGATCTCGGTCGGGCCTTCATTTCCGCCTAAAAACACAACTCGTCCCGAACTACCGGTCCCGAACAGGTCTCAAATTGGTCTCGTTATGGTCCGAACGAAACCTATTTGGCCATCTCTAGCTTGAAGCCTGATCGGCTTAAGAACCCAAAAGCGTTTGGGCCTAAACACCTGATCAGCTCCATTTGCACACAAAAAGCCTGATCGAATCCTAAAAAAACTTCTTTTTTATTTATTAAAAACAAGTTTGGAAAGCCAAAACCTAAAAAAGGCCGAGTCTTTTAAAGTTATAATATGACAAAAGCAAATAGAAGAGCGCTCTCCAAAAATAAACCGATGATCAAATTGAAGTGAACAAATGCATACCATCTTCCATCTTTACTATAAAGAACGAATCACTAGAGGTGTAAACAGTTTGAACTTTTAATGAGCTACTCGAGCTTATTTATGTTGAGCTCGAGCCAACCATGAACACAAAATAAAATTCGTTTAACTTAACGAGTCAAGTTTCATAACACCAATGTTCGACTCGGCTCGTTCGAAATCTAGATCAAATTTTTTCAATTGAGCCGAACAATTTGAGTATACATTTAAGGCAAACATGCACATACGTTTATGAATCATACAATACAAATATAAAAATTATTGAGTTCGAGCCAATAAACGAGTTAATTGATCGCGACTTTGAGCCCTTAAAGGAACATCGAACTCGAGCCCTACATTGAAAAAATTATTCTAGTTTGGGTCGAGCGCAAGCCTAGTATTATTTCTTCGAGCCTAACTCGAATAACCTACTGCTCGACTTGACTCGTTTACTCCCCTATGCTTCACCGCATGGCATAATATTAGCCCTTTGATCGTTGTCAACCTACAATCTCTACTACTTATTGGTGCATCTTTGACATCGGTTGGGGATACAAGGAACAAGTAAAACAATTAGCATTTTAAATAACCATAGGGCCATTTATGTAACTCAACATTTCTGCAACTTAAAGTGGAACCTCATTAAAGGTAGGAAGTATGTGCTTATTTTTCTACGACATAAATCACAAAAGACGTTAAAAAAAGCATCACAAATCCGATTGCACAAAAAGTTTGATCGGAGGTGCCAAAGGGTCAAGGATATGTTTCATTGGGTCATTTAGGTTCAATAGGGTTTATATTTGGAGTAAATCTATACTATCTTATAAACCAGATTTATCAAAAGTCTTAAAAACAATTCAATACACAAAGTATTATATATTTATGCACAAAGTCTTAAAAACAACTCATAATGCATTAAATACTACTACTTTATGCATTCAGTCTTAAAATCTCATAATCTACAATTAAAATAACATACAACACACGTTACCAATGTACATTGTTACATTTTCTTTTCATGTTTCCAAAATACCTTTTGACACCTTTCACTCATGCCTTCACCCTCTCATACCTCTATGTCTTCCCCCCATCCCCCAAGGTGAGATTCAAATTGATATTCACCATGTGTTATTAAAAGTTCTCTCATTCATCTCTCATTCGATTGCTCTAGAACTCTCGCTCTCGATCTCTTGATTCTTTGCTCTTGGTGTAAATCGAACACATTTGTAGAGTCATTTAAATATGTTGGATTTTAAACTATCATACATTTTTTTCATCGATAGACTGTAATTGGAACCATAACTCTTATATATTTAAACTGTATTAATATGTAAAGACCAATTGTAACTTATATCATCGTTAAATCTTCTCTAATAAAACAAATGAAACTTCAAAATCGTTAAAATTCACGGCTCCCGCCGCATTGCGTGGGTACACAACTAGTTAAAAATGAAGCAAAAAAATATAATTTCAATGATGACTGAGATCAATAGACATTCTAATATCATAGCTCTATCACCAGCGGACCATGCCCATACCCTTTTACGGGCAAATTTAAGGGCTTAGCATATGTTTAACTACTAGCTCATCCCTGGGATGATGATACCAAATCCGAGTCAAGGCAAACCATCTATCAGAAAGCAACTCAATTGGGAAGAAAAACACTAGGCTGTGTTTGGCAAACGAGCTGATAGCTGATAAGCTAGCTGGTGAAAAAACCATGTTTGACAAAAATTAGCTGATAAACATGTAAAAAGAATATCTTGAAAAATTAGTCAATTACAATATTTCATAATATAATTAAAACAAATTTAGTAACATAACATATTAATACAAACAAGATAGTAAAGAAAAATTAAAAGAATTTTAAATTGATTATTATATATATACTAGAAGCGTACTCGCGCAATGCAGCGAGATACATCGTGTGTTTAATATTTCATTTTATTCTTTATCTCAGTCGATATTATAATATGGCTTTATGTGATTTTGAGAAAGCGATGACGTTTTTATTTTTGAATAAAATATATGTTTGACGATATCATAAAAATTTGACAAAAATATATCGATATTAG